TGTTTAATCCAAGGTCTAATTATATTGTCAAGTACTCTGCTGTGAAGGTGTGCGTGGCTGCATTGCTTAGGACGTTCCTTCTTAAATACTCCTAACTTGTAATTATGTTACTTCACGTCCAAGATTTTGTACCAAATGATATACATTCCTAATTGTTTCTTACAATTATTCGTAAGCTAATTTTGTTACTTTGTATTCAAGATTTTGTACTAAATGATCCATAATTTCCTAATTGTTCCAAGTTTGCTTTTGTTTGAGCTGCTTAAGCAGCTTTAAATGATAGTCATGTTAGGGAAGCTTTTTCCCAAAATAAGTCTTAACTTTCTTAACAGATCAAATGGACTAGTTAATTTAATTACAATGATCTCGCATTCTCTCATATGATCTTTAAATGATATGTTATGACCTCTATTAGCCTCAACAAAGATTTGGCATTGCTCTCAAATATTATTCTAATCTCATATTAGCTTCATTAATACTTCATATTAGGACTTTAAAAGAAAGAGGAATCACATCCAACCAAAAGCAAGGTGAAAAGACTGATCTTATACAAGCATGCATGAACTATGTTATCATACAAATCAACACATCACAATAATTATACATTGGAAATACACATTTCTACATACACTTGATGTATAATAACAGGATATGAGCATAAAGCTCTATTATCCTAAGCTTATTTATGTTAAGTTGACTTTAAAATTTTGACTTTTCTTAAAAAATAAATTGGTCAAATTCCTTTATTTTTGCTGAAATTCCTTTATTTTTGCTGAACTTATGTTAATTTTTAAGTAATACTTCATATGGATATAAAGAAAATTACTTCTATAGTTATATGAGTTGTAAAAAATCGATTCAAAACCTACTAAAAGAAATGTTAAACTATTTTAAAAAGTTGCTTACGAGTAAATACTTACAATGTTTTTTATTCGATATGAAATCTTTTTGTCTACTTTATATCTTTATCTTCATCACACAAGAGTCACGTTTAAACCCCCTAATTTTACATGCACCACCACCACGTTGCCATTGTTAAAAAGTAGATGGAAATATTTATGCTTTCTTAAAAAAATAGAAATAATGAAATATTAATCGTTCATACCCAAATTGTTATATGTAGCCAACAATTCGTTAGTGTTATACGAAGTAAAAGTTACTTGGTCAATGTTATATAGGGATTACTCGATCAATGTTATAACGATTACTCTTACTTGATTCTTTTACCAGCGGCCACATAATGTAGTCAGCCGCATATAAAACTTGTTGTTATTAGATGATAAAAGGGGTCAAAGTTGAAAAAAATGAAGTGAATGCCGTCCGTTGGCGGTTTCTTCTCGCCCGCTGTATGTATAAATTTCCCCGTTGAAACCAACCTTGATATGCACACCGCGTCCATCCCTTTTCCCCCTCTCTCTCTCTCCCTCCCTCAACCATTTTTGGCAGATTCAGATCTACCTCTCACAGACAAAGAGAGAGGAGGAGAGAGAAATTGAAATTTCAAGGATTCATCAATGTCGGTCGTCTCACCATTAGCCAAATACAAACTCGTCTTCTTAGGCGATCAATCTGTCGGAAAAACCAGCATTATTACTCGCTTTATGTACGACAAATTCGATACCACTTACCAGGTTTCTTCTCTCTCTTTTTTTTTTTTTTTTCATTTTATCGTGATCATCATAATTTAATTTTGTTGCAATTTCTATTGCATTTTGATTGAAATTTGTTGGCTTATTGTTGCATTGTAAATTGCGATTGATCATTTTATTTTACGTTGGATTTAGGTTTCGTCTTCAAAATCTATGTGATCGATATAAATTGAGATTGATGCATGCTGGAATGGTAGCTGAATTTGTTGGAATTGATGTTAGTTTGTCTAATTGTTTTCAAATGATATGATTATATGCCTAATTTTGCTGTATTTGTGCCTAACTTACCCTGTTTCACGCTAGGATTACAAATTTTTCTAGAGAATTTTCATTAATTTAGGATACAATTGCAATTTTGTTACAATATGTACCAGGAATTATAGTTTGTCAAAGATTTGTCATTCCGCAATCAAGTGCATGGTTCTGTAATTTGTTGACTGATCATAGAATCAGAGGCATGACTCCAAGTAGGGGCTTTTAAAGGTGACAATGGGGTCATTTTGTTCTGTTTTGGGTCTGGTGACTTTAGTTTCAGGTAGAATCAATCCCAACCTTAGTTTCAGGTAGAATAAATTTGGTACGAATCATCTAATTTTGGCTATGATTCAGATATCAGTCATCAAAATTGAATATTTTTTCCTCCCGTAATTATATACACTAGTAATTGGTAATTTGGTATATTGCACCATCCAGAAACTTGAAGTTTTAAAGTCAAATAAGGACGTCTTTGATAAAACCAAGATGCATGATACCGAGTTCTTTTTTTAAAAAATCTTCCGTGGGAGGCATGACTTGTACTAAACGATAGTTTGCACTTCATGGCCAACAATATAATTATAGATTGCCATGATTTTTTATGAATGATATCAATCACTGAGCCACATTGTCATAGGAGATGGGTTCAACTTCCTGTAATAAAATTTGCAGTTCCTTTTCAAATTTGTATGCTCTACTTATACAGTATATTTTTCTCATCCTAGAGTTGGACCATTTAATATATAGAATATATAGTGGAGACTTCTCAATATTTAATGGACAAGTTTAGAATTGGAAATTAGTGAGATCCTAATATCCTACAAGTATAAAGTAATACTCCAAAAGAATTTTGGCCACCCAAACTTCAGGTTACATTATCATGAAATCATGCTGGTATAGCCGTATGTGCAACTCTTATGCTTTGGTATTGTTTATTGTGTATTTGATGTATATTGAAATCTAGGACATGTATAATTTTGATATATTTTAATAATGTCAACTTAATGGCAGGCCACTATTGGGATTGACTTCTTGTCGAAAACCATGTATCTTGAAGACCGAACAGTGCGCTTGCAGCTCTGGTATGATACTGTCAAATTTCTTGTCAGTTAATGTATATTCATGTTAAAGCAGTAACAAACGAATTTCTTAAGCGCCCTGAACTCATTGATTATAATAGCAGAAAAATTTATCTCTAGATTTCCCATCTCATGACGATTTAATGATTTACCAATATAACTTGTTGTCTTGTAGACATGATTTATATGATTCTATCCCATGTTCTGAACATTTAACTGCTAATTCCAGGGATACTGCTGGACAGGAAAGATTTCGGAGTCTTATTCCCAGTTACATCAGAGATTCTTCAGTTGCTGTTATCGTCTATGATGTTTCTAGTAAGTGCTTTGTATGCTAATGACTTCAACCTTGATCATTTTTACATGTTAATGCCTTAAGGAGCCATGAAAGTTTACCTATGATGTAATTTGTCTTGACTGAAGCTCTTATATTTCTACGTTTCCTTAATGCACAAGTACATGGGTGAAACTATGTGCTAGTAATGTACAATTTCTGCTGATGCTTCCTTTTTCTTGAACCAATATTATTCTCTTTGGTTATTTGTTGATAATAAACCTGTAGCCAATTTCATCATGCAGATAGGCAATCATTTCTCAGCACTACAAAGTGGATTGATGAAGTACGGACAGAACGTGGCAGTGATGTGATTATTGTCCTTGTTGGAAATAAAACTGATTTGGTTGATAAAAGGTAGGGATTTTGTTCACTTCTGTGTATTCTCTTTGCTATGCTTTATGTTCTCTCTTTTATATGTTAATCCACCATTGATTAATTGAGAAATGTTATCACACAAAGGTTCTACTTGCCATCAGGCAGAGGGGAGAACCAGAATTCTATATTTTCCTGGGTTTCATGAATCATAGGATCTCTTTTTACCAATAACAAGATAAGGCCAGGGTTTGGTTGCATAGCATTTTAAAGTGTTTATGCTAGAATGTTTTGACATTGAAGATTTAAACAGGCAAGTCTCTATAGAGGAAGGAGATAATAAGGCTCGTGATGCAGGGGTAATTTTCCTGGAGACCAGTGCAAAAGCAGGATTCAATATAAAGGTATGTTAATTACTCAGTCATAGTCGCTTAATATTCTAGGATGTCCAGTAAAGGGGTTATTTCTTATGTAGTATTTATTTATGACTAAATTAGCAAATATGCACAACTTAAATGTAAGTGATTGGAAGAGAATAGAATTGATTCAACTATCACAAAGTTAAGTTTGTACATTCGTGTTATATTCTCGATTATAAGGTCAGAGGAAATATTCCTTTCTATTTACTTCGTATTACAGTAGAAATCTGCAGCAATGATGAACATGGAAATTTCACGTAACTAATGCATTGACTAAACATGCCACAGCCTTTATTCCGTAAGATCGCCTCATCCTTGCCAGGGATGGAAACCCTGTCATCCACCAAACAAGAGGATATGGTTGATGTGAATTTGAAACCTAACAGTAGTTCATCCCAATCAGAACAACAGGGAGGTGGTTGCGCTTGTTAATTTGTAACAGATCAAGATTTTGTGAAGTAAAAGAAGGCTGTTCATAAAAGGGAAAGAGGAGGTGAACATAAAGGGCCAAGCTCGACAAATAAGGGTCTGAGTTCGTTGCACCAGGCCCCATTTCATGTTCTATATACTTCTCAACTTGTTCTATACTTTAAAGGTACATTTTGTAAAAGGTTTGGCTTTGACTTTTCGAGGCCAGCCGTTCATTTTGCCCACTTTTTGTAAACATTATAGCTTCCTTTTTTTTCAGTGTTTCAATTACACCGATTCATTATTGGACTATGTATTTTGTTGTTTTGTTTCGAGGATTTCTTGTTATGTAGGCTGAGATTGTTAAGAAACCACTCCAGTTAGAGAAATAATACTTACATAATTTCGCTTTGAATCCATATTTTGTAGCTCCTAAAGATCTATAGGTTGTATTTCTGTGCTCTATACAGACCGTCAAACTGATTATATGTCGGAAATTCAATTCATATGATTTATGCCATCAACTTGTGGAACGTAGGAATGATGATAACGAAAGGAAACTGCAGATCTGCAGTAAACACTAAACTCGGTATATGTACACAGGAAAATTTGAGATAGTGCCCAAGCAAGAGTAGATACAATTCATACAAATGCAATAGAGCAATAATCTCCAAATAGATCTACGAACAGAAGATAATTTAAAATAAAAGAAAAATAATCTGCTGTCGCTTAGCCATGAATATAGCCTTCACTGACTTGTCTAACTCGGAGTGTTAGAAAAATCAAGACTATTGTCCCCATACTCGACCTGGGAAAAACATGGAAACCCACTTCAGTAAATCATTAGATATATGGTATTTGGTCAAGTGTAAGATAGTTTAAGGTTTTAATGGTAAACATATTTATAAATTATACTTGTATGAGATACTTTTAGTTAGATCAGATCAAATAGTAGATATTATTCCATTCTTGCAGAATATATAATTGTTCAAAAAGTGAAAAGATAGCAGATCAAGATGCTCATTTATCTATTCATATTCTTTCTTTTCCCTTTTTTTTAATCTCTTTATTTTTTTTTAATGGGAGGTGTTTGTCAATAGAACATAATGCTTTAGGCTTCATTATCATATCATATACTGTATGTTGGTGCCAGACAACCAGCAGAAACATGTGAAGTAACCGCATTCTAATTTAAGAATCTAATTAGAAGCAATGTATCAAGGGTAGAGTAAGAGCTTGGAGCTTACAGAATGGAGAACAGGAGGACAATACGTCGTGAATCAAATAGACCTGGACGTTTATACTTTCTCCATCGGTTATGAGTAGCATCGTGTGCCTTCTCCATTGGTTGCCTGTCTATCGAAAATAAGCAAGAAGAAGAGTTAGTCGAGTTTATTTAACCCCTAGACATGCTGAAGAATTCGTACACTAACGCACCAAAACCTCATAATCGTAAACTAAAATATACCAAGCTATGTAAAGGTAAACAAGTTCCTGAATAGTGGCACCTAAGCTTTATCTGCCTTTACAAAACTCATATGCTCCGTACAAGAGAAGTACATAACCCACTAAATTACAGTTTTCTATTTCTAAAGCTTATAATTGATGGGATCATCAAAACTTATTTCGAAGCAATAGCATTTAGCAATCATCAACAGAGCACAAATAGTGGGAAGAAGCTAACTGAATGACCAACAAATCTTATCTTTATGACAAAGCTAAAATGTGGGTTTTACCTTTGGCATTAAACTTGAGCAACATGAGGATGTGGTTCATTAAAGGCGGTATGGATTCTCCTCCTGTCTGTATGCTGTTCTGTCTCCTTAGCGGTTTCTGAAAAACAAGACAAAATACAGGATAGTTAGCCTTTACGAAAGGCGGAAAACAATGCCAATATATCCACACACAAATGGCTGTGAATAATTCAACTGTGGATTACTTACAGTCAATGAAATCTCAGTTTTGATACTCCCACAAGTCTCTTGGTCAATTTTCGAAACATCGTTAGCACCCTTTTCGATATCAACTGTAACTAAGCAAGAAGGAAACGAGTCTGAATTCTTATCATCAACAGGTTTGTGGCATATCACTGAAGCATCCACACATGTCTGACTATCTGATTGCAACCCACATTGTGTGTTTGCATTGCCTTGTTCATCATCACTCCGCACCAAAATTCGACAAAAATCCTGAGAATCAATCCAATAATCAATCTCACAAACTCAATATAATATTGAAATTCCGACTCTAAGTAATACTCACTCCGTCTCTAAATATTGTTCATAATGAAGAATTCTACTCCCCAATTGGATGAATTTTAACAGCTCAATTTCATCCTATCAATTACTACTTTATTAAATGAATCAATGATAAGTTTTAAGAAAAAGTAAAAAGAAAAATTGATTGCTAGTTGTCAGAAATTCAGCGTTGACAATTTTAGCAATTTGTAACTCCAACCATCCAACTCAAAAAAAGCTGTTAAACAAGTTGAAACTCAGAACACAAAAGTCACAATCATCGAGCACTCCGCCTCCATAAACGAATGAATATTCTAAAATACACTTAATTCTTTATTATTCATCCCGGAAAATGCATGCTTAATCATATTCATAAATCTAAAATATTCAATTTTTACAGGAAATTAACAGAGTAATTCTTAAAAAGGCTAAAATTCAGCTTTACATAACAAAATTCAAACATGATATGATCATAAAATTGATGTCCATTATTAGACACCCAAATGTACCATGCACAAATACCTTGATACACACCCAAATTAAGCTTTTTATTTTTCAATTGAACATCAAAAAAAATAAAAATCCAACTCCTATAATGTTGTAATAAAAATTGAACAAAATTGATAAAAATATGAAAATGGTTTGAGAAATGTGACCTGGTCGCCGGAAGCCGTTGCCATTGAAGGGAGAGGAGAGAGAAAAAGTGAAATTGAGAAAGAAAGAAGGAAATTGAGGAGAGAGAAAATGGAATGGTGAAAAAAAAATGAAGTGAACGTTACATTGGGATTCTTGCTCTGAAAAAATAGTGTTGTTAAAAATGAAGTGAAGTGCAGCTTATAATAACTCAAACAAGAGTAGCAGAAATAGCAGAAAGGCTCCTGATCACGATGTTGATGATCACGACAAACATTTTACTCTGATTCTCTCAATTTCTTTTTATAAAAAAAATAATATTATTATTTAATGTTACAGGATATCATATTTTATTTTATTAAAAATTATAAACCCTTATACGAACTTAGTAAACCCTACTTTGTTTTAGCCAGTTAAACATCATATACTCCATCTATTTCGTAATAATCGCAACACTATGACTTTTGGATTATTCATCTGCTTACTTTGACTATATATATATGATGCCATGTAAAATATTGTTGGATTAGTCTTTTAAGTATATTTCATTATATTAACTTTTTTATACATCTTAATAATAATATATACTCCATCCGTCCCTAAATATAGTTCTCGTTTGATGACTTTTTACGGTTTTCAAGGCATATCTTAAAACGTCTATATATCTGTTTTCATACGCGTAATAATTATAAAAACTTAATATTAATAAAATGTATAATGTGATGAATTTAATAAGATTCACATGAACATATAATCTCTTATAAATTAATGGAAATTTATGGTCAAAGTTTTTAAAGTTTGACCCAAATAAGTCAAATTAGATGGGACGGAGGAAGTGATTACAAATATTAATGGTCAAAGTTATGTATTAGCATGTGTGACGGTCAAAGTATTGTGATTACTATGAAAGGTAATGAGTATATCTAATCTTTATTAACTATCATGAAGTATATTATCTTATTTGCACTTATTAGAGGATTTGGTCCCGACCTACTAACCACATCAACCTACCCAGCTTGACGGCTAATGCATTATAAAACGAACAAGAGTCATCGTTGAGATGCGGGTAATCTAGTACATGAAATTGTCATTATTGATAATATGTTGCATTCAAGCTTTAATAAATCCATGTGAACGCTAAACTGGAACAGCAAATATTTGGGGTGCATTTGAATCATAGAATATGACATTAAGGTTTAGAAATGTGTAAATTAGTAGTAATAACAAGACTCACGGGTTGCCTACTGTTTTTTGTCCTCCAAGACGCACAAACCACCAACACAATTACCTGTTTATTGTCTTACTTTTAATCCGTGAGTTGTTTCTATTCGAGAATATCTTTTGTCACCTTCTTTCAGTCGTCTGATGACCAACGCCTAAATCCATTGATTCTTCTACTAGGAATCTACCGATCAAATTACCAATTGTCTGTCTTTGTCGAGGTCCAATGTTATGGAGTATTATTAATTATTAGGAACTTAAGGGTGCATGACACAGTTGGTCTAGCTTTGTTTATGCATGTTTGTTATGGTCGAGGTTATGTTTTATCATACGTTTTTAAAATGTGTCTTTATCTTACTTTTACAAAAAAAAAGTACTGACATAGTACTTCTTCTTTTGGCTCTTTAACAATTTACAATGTATATAGTTTGGGAGGAAAAGAGTTGATCCTTTATAATTTTGTACATTTAAACTCTATTTCATCTGCAAATTAATTTGTGCAGGTTATTGAAAGCTCTCAAGCTTACAAAAGTTGAATAATTTACAGTTTATACATTTTGATTATATTTCTTACATCTCAAAATTCCTCATTTACTCCAATGTAAGATAACTGATTCATGTGATTTCACATACATGTAATAGCTAGCTAGGAGCTGAGGCACAACTCTTTGTTACTTCACATCTACAAGTGATTAAAATTGTAAAATTTAATTAAAACCCGTCATGAAAGAGTCCAAATTCAATTGATATGATTAAAGACCTATAATATGATGAGTGATCAAAATGGATTTTAATACCATATGGAGTACATGTTAAAAGTATATACCTCTTCTATATATCTTTAGTTAGTGTCCTTAGTGATCATACTTTTTCTTTATTTTTATTTTCCTTTAGTGTGTCCATTTTGGTTGGCTAGTGCTTTGGTCCATTTATAAAATGCGGTGACAATGCACTAATGGTGATCGAAATTAATTACTAATAAATAAATAGTATTCCAAATATATTTTTAATACTCGTACACCGTACCCTCCTTCAATTCCTTGCCATACTGTAGATGATCTTTAAAATATTTGTAATAAAACATGTGTTATTCGGATCCATATATTGGTTGGTTGGTGGAAAATGGAGACAGTGAAAGTTCCATCCCATGCTTCAGCTCAGACCTATTTGTGCTATATACTTCTGCCACGAGTTGATGTTGCACGGTGACGTGGTCAACTTATATTACTCTGTATCAACTTTTGTATAGAATATCAAGCAAAGTTTAATCTATTGGTAATGTATGAATGTGTGTTCATAATTTCAAAGTCAATCATGAGATTAAATTTTACTAGGAGCTCATTTGGGGAGATTCTTTCATTCTTTTCCTCACTCTCAATGAGCTGAATTAGTATATGAAAAATATCATTTTGATAGGGTTCTTCTCCTTTAACTTATAAAAAGATAATATTACAATTACAAGAGTTAACAAGGCAACCTCAATCAAAAGACTATACAAGTACTTGTATGAGTTGTATATATCTATTATATGTTCCTTCTTATTCAAACCGCCAATAATACATGAGTCTATTTTATAAGAACTCTCTTTAGCATAGATTGTTATTCGTGCTATACTAACTAAAAGGATAAAATAACAAAGCTAATAAGTATTGAATTTATTCATAGTAGAGATTCCAAATCATCAACTTCTTTTACAACTATAATTTTACAACTATACATAGTTGTTGCTACTACTCATAATTAGTATTAATTAAATATTGATAAATAAACTAATACATCATAAAAATTAAAGCGAAACAACTACGTAGAAGAACCTGAGATATTATAATAATGGAGAAAAATGTGTCTATCAACTTGATAACATGTGCTCATAGTCTCACCTAGATTTTAAAAATCTGGTATAGAAGTACTACTAAACAATGTTTATTGCCTGTTGGATAGACACACACTGAGAGGTGGGAACACTATCTTAATCAGAAAAACCCCTTGCTATTTATTGCTAATTAAAAACTCAGTACACTGATTGTACATTTCTATTTTTTTTGTAAACTTATGGGCCTATGACTCCTGAATTATTACTGATTACATGTTCAAATTTTTCACGGGCTTTGTAAATTGGTAATCTTCTCGACTAGAAAGCCAGCCCAAATAAATAAATTTCATTGGTCTTAAGGCCCACAACCTACAATCCATGGACCATGGGTATAATTTGTTGCGTTACAGGCCCTTACAGCTTCCCCTAGAGTGTCAATTCGATCGTTTAGGTCGAGTTTGGTGATGTCGACTTAGATCAGGTAAGATCCATTTCAGATTTAAGTCAAGCTAAATTGTTGTGTTTATACAAGCTACTTCCTCCGTATTTTTATTACTCGTTCCACTTTCTTTTGCGGTCGTATTTTAATACAAATATTGTATTACTTGTTTCATTTCCTTTTTTTTTATAAACTTTTAACAATATTTTACTACATTCATCCCCACTTCTAGTCCCCTCACATCATATTTTAATATTTTTCATATTCTATCTCCTCTCTCCTTTCCACTTATACTCACTTTTGCTTTTTTAGATTTTTTTTTTCCATCAACCCCACTTGCATCATACTCCCTCTATTTTTTTTATAAGTTAGAGTTGGATTTGCACATTTACCGAGACACAACTTTGACCATTAATATTTTTAATTAGAGATTAGTAAAAATTATGAAAAAAAATAATTTATAAAAGTAGACGCTATGACAAATCCAACAATATATTATATGATCATATCTATACTATTATATTAAAAAGCGTTTATAAGAACGTCTATGTGTCACGTATACTCTCCTCAATACGCCGCGTCACCCACTCATTACGCCATGTGGTTTTCCCTTCCATTTGTTTTTCATTGCAATTTATGCACTTATAATAATAATAAAAAAAAAAGTTTTCCACAAGATTTGAACACCTAACCTCTAATTCTAGAACTATGTGTCATACCACCAAACTATGTGTTTTTTTTATGCAATATTTTGAATACAAAATATTAATATGTAACAAATGACAATATTAACAAAAAAATTAATTACAAGAAAATTGAGTCATAAATTACAACGTACATTAATGATCAATTCCATATAATAACCCGGCGCATCTCCGAATCCAAAAATTAGTTTATATATTATATATTGGTAAAAAAGTTAAGTCAACCTATAAATAGTGGAATTTTCCAACTCTAACTTATAAAAAAAACGGAAGAAGTATTTTATTAAAGAAATTTCTACTATTCCTCTAATAACTTGGCGCATAAAAAATGGGACAAGTAATAAGCTGCAGGAGAGTAAAATCTAAATGGAAGTATATTCAAGCCGATTTCCGATGAATTGGGTTAGTTTTTGTAAGACCCCTATATCCCCCACCACTCGCGTTCTTCGTTTTGCTTTAGCCAGGTGAAAAATCACATCAAACATTTGAAAAATATTCCGTTACATGTCATCATCAAAGTATCAAACATGTAATATGCTCTCAAATTCACACCATTTTATATTGCTTCCCACCTAAGTACCTAACTGCACTGTTGTGTCACTCACTACCCTCTTCTTCCCCAAACTTTTTCACCCAACATTTTCTCTCTCATCTTTCACTAAATTTTTATGCAATGCTTGAATTAGAACTCTATAATGAACTGGATTTCTTCAGAATCACAAATTCAGCCTTTTTCATCAAATCACCCACTTCTTTTCTCTTACACATTTCATCGAACAATTCGTCGACATTCCTTTCAAATTCTCTCTCTTCCTCTTCTTCCGCCTTGCGAATTAACCACCGGCGAAAACATGTAGTGGATTCGGAAATTCGTCGCCGTTTCTCCGATTTCTTGTCTGTCAGCTTATCGGTCAAAGATGCTGATGATGGGTTTTCTGGGGATTCGTCTCAATCATTGGGGCAAAATGGGGATCGTAATTCTGAATTTATTAGGGTTTCTGAATTACTTGAAGAAACCAAGGAGGAGGAAGTAAAGGTGAGAAGTTCTGGTGCATTCAATACCACTAAACATTTGTGGGCTGGTGCTGTTGCTGCCATGGTTTCAAGGTTTATTTCCTTCTCTTCTCTCTTTTTAATTTCTGTAATTTTTTAATGGGTTTTAATTTGCAATCATATTAGTAGTTTAGTACTAATGCACCCGATCCCATCAGAACTCCGCAATTTAGGTGTGTGGTCGAACAAGTCTGTGTATTGCACCTTTTTTCACCAAAATGTAGTTGCATGATCCGGAATGTGTAATTGTATAGTTCTATTATCTATATCTTGAATAAAAATTGAATCTTGCTGTTTCTAAGATATCAAACTTGCAATTAAAGTTAAAATCTAAATATATACGGTTAGTAAAAGCTGATAATATTAATAGATTGATGGAAGTTTTGGAATTATAATCTATTATTATCTGAGACAAAGGGAGTAGCTTTTATGAGATCAATATTGGAATTCCTTGCCATTTAAATATTATACTAGCTTTCTGTTATGGTAATGGTTTTAGTAAGTATTTGGGATTTGGGTTCTAGATGATTCTGGCAAGTCATCTTGCTCTTAGATCAAGTGTAAAGTGATTCTCTGTAAAAAAAAAAAAAAAAAAAAAAAAAAAAAAAAAAAAAAAAAAAAAAAAACCTCTTTTGGGTTATTTTCTGAACGAATGGCAACGCTGCTCTAGTTTTAAATATTTGAGATAGCTTCCGATTTTCAATTGTTTTTGCGGAAGCCATTAAAACAAAAATTGTTGCTGAAGCTCTAGTCTTGCAAAGGGGTATTAGGGTAGTAAGGTTTTGAGGAATAAGAAGTTTGGATAGTAGAGAGATTTTTGTGTTGTGAGCCTTTGAAATTTTGGAAAGTCAATGGAAGATTGCTGATATCATGGAAACTTGCTATTAGAACAATCCAGTAAGGTCATATATTGCCTAACCATAGGAAGCATATCCATTTTATGTTATTAAAGTTTGATGCTTTTAATGTTTATTCTTCATCTACCATCTGAAGGTTGAGTAAGGTTGGTGCCTTTTGTCCCAAAGCAATTTCTCATTATAAACTGGCCATAAAGGAGAAGAATTCCAAAAGGGGAAAATGGGAAGTTTAATTTTAATTTATATGATTAATATTATTTTATTTTATTTTTGGTTCTTTTATACCTGAAATGAATGACTATCAATACATATAAGGAAAAGTCAATGGAGCTATTCAAGTCATCATAGTGTTGTAATCCTTAAGTGACACTTGTTTCGTGAATGGAGTGAGTAAGCTTGTGAATAACCTCTTATTTTGTTTCAGGACCTTTGTTGCCCCTCTCGAGCGACTAAAATTGGAGTATATAGTTCGCCATGAGCAGAAGAATTTGTTTGAGCTCATCCAAACAATAGCAACTACACAAGGAATCAAAGGCTTTTGGAAAGGAAATTTTGTCAATATCCTTCGAACTGCTCCTTTTAAAGCAATTAATTTTTACGCTTATGATAGGTATAGGAATTACCTTTGCAAGTTATCTGGAAATGAGGAGGCTGCAAATTTTGAGAGATTTGTTGCTGGTGCTGCTGCTGGTATCACTGCTACCTTACTCTGCCTACCCATGGACACTGTATGTGGTAAAAACAGAAATTTCACTTGCTTTAACTACTTCATTGTCTGAAAGTTTTCTAGCATTATGTTTCTGGTTTTGCCAAAATGTTGTTATTTGACGAGACCTTCCTTAACTTGTTCTCCTCATTGCTTGAAATTTTACTCTGCTCGAAAGTAAAGAAATGTCTTTTAACCCTTAAATCATTCTGGTTCACAACTTGAATATGTCCGTGTCTGACAAAACTGCATCATCAACCATTGAATGAGGTTCCCTCTGGAAGCAATAAAGTAACATGAAAAAGGAAATCTCGTACAGTAAAGCAGCATTTCATATGATCCTTTTGATTATCAATTAGGACTGTTTGGTATCTGGATTAGAGATTTCCTGTATGATAATAGCTTATAAGTCATTCTTTCCAGGATGAAATGGGCAAGGACAAAATCCTATTATTATGTATTAAGCCCAAACTTATGGGGATTATCAGTGTCACAGATAGTGGAAAATATTACTTTTGTCTTCAGAAACTCTTATGTGCACCTAGGTGACCCAAAGCTAAATTTTGCTCATTTTAAGATTTTCACTTTTGTCTTAGACTGACTCTCTGCAAATTTTGGCAATTCCAGAACCCCCTATGCACCCAAACTGGCCATAAAGGAGAAGAATTGTTTGTAATTAAAAAATAAAGATATATACATTTTTTTTTCCCTCCTTGTTTCTTCAATTTCAAATCTTAGCATTTTCGTTAGTGTAGCTTTCAGTTTCAATGAATCTTGAAACATACTATTCGCTGGCTCTGGATTTTACTCAGCTGGCTTATTAAACCCTGCACTTCAATTACGTTACAGTTCGGATCAAAGTTTATGGGAAAAGTCCTCTGCTATGTGGGGATAAGTCTGTGTTTCAGATCAGGACTGTTCCCTGAAACATAAATCTTCATTAGATCTCCCATCACTTGTAGATTAAACGTTAATCACAAGTCCTTTTTCTTTATAAATTTTTCATTGTTTCAGATCAGGACTGTTATGGTAGCTCCAGGCGGTGAAGCTCTGGGCGGTGTCATTGGTACTTGCCGGCATATGATCCAAACTGAAGGATTCTTTTCTCTGTATAAGGGCTTAGTCCCGTCACTTGTAGCAATGGCTCCTTCTGGTGCAGTATTTTATGGTGTTTATGATATATTGAAAGCATCCTATTTGCATTCACCTGAAGGGAAGAAAAGAATAGAAAACATGAAACAGCAAGTAGGAGACCTTAATGCTCTGGATCAGCTGGAACTGGGTCCTGTTAAAACACTGCTTTATGGGGCAATTGCTGGGGCTTGTTCTGAAGCTGCTACTTATCCGTTTGAGGTTGTTAGAAGACAGCTTCAATTGCAGGTGCGGGAGAAAAAGTTGAATGCTGTGGCAACTTGTGTCAAGATAGTAGAGCAAGGAGGTGTTCCAGCCCTGTATGCTGGATTAATTCCAAGCTTATTACAGGTAACTCATTACTTGAGCTGGAAAGTAGAATGTAAAAAGAAGAATTGTGTTATTATTTGTACTCTACAATCAAGGGAGCTATCTGACTATATGCTGTAACTTTTCCAGGTTTTACCATCTGCTGCCATTAGCTACTTTGTCTACGAGTTTATGAAGGTGGTTCTCAAAGTGGATTCATAGTTCTGCCTTCTTGCAACAATAGAGCAGCAAGTTTTTCTTAGTTGCTTGGAAGTTGCAGTTATTACCTTCGACTCAGCTGATGATTATGGACTTGTAAACATGAAGAAAGCAAGTATATTTTCACCATGCTTGGTCTAAACTACCTTCTCACCGACAGTTCTTTGTCAGAGCTAACGTTGATGATTTGCTGGAGGATATGGATAACATCTTGTCATGATTATCTTCCCTTATTGCTTAGGAGTTCAGAAGTTTGGAATGATTCTAAAGTAGTTGTCCTTATAAGACAATATTGTAGCTGTTGGATATGAACCACATGCCCACATATATTTACATTTTACAAGCCAGATGTGGATGCAGCTCACTGGCGGCAAATGTCAGATGTGTTGGATGCATTGTTGTCTTCAAAGACAACTGATACAGAGCTTCACTGAAGTTTGATGGTGTACTTTGCTCACGGAAAGAAGTATATGTGAGCATTCTACAATTGGGTTATTAATTTGAAGTTTACAGTCGACTCTTCGGCTGACATTAGATGTAGAGCCTTGGTACTAATCTTGTGGGATGTCGTAGCTGGCATTATTTGATATAGCTCTTTTATCAACCCGAAGAAATGTAACTTGTCATCATCTCTTGAGAATTAAGTTTATCCTCGTATCATTGATCGTTCACTCAATTACATAATTTTCAAGTTGTAATACAGACTCTTGTGTCTAGAAATTATTGAAAAAGGTGTGTAAGAAAAATGTAGATAGGGTAAAAGGTGTGTCAAAAAAAGTTGAATAAAGTAAAAGAGATAGAGTAGAAATGTGTAAATCAGGTAATAAAAATTAAAATACATGAATTGAACATTTATATACCCGAAAATGGAAAGTAAGTCAACAATTATATACACATTTACAAAGAAATGTTATCCAAGCCAAATTTGCATTTTTTGTTACCTTGACTATTAAAGAAGTTTGGAGTCTTACTCGCCAAAATACGAGGTATATATCAGTGCAATTACAACATCAACTAACACACCAATTTCTGAAGCTACAATTACAGGAAAGCCTTACAGACAAGATCTAGTTTGAGTAATACTCAACTCATAAAAGAACAGAACAAAAAATGATTGTACTTTGAGACTCCCATCTGTACAAGTGAGAAACCACGCTTTGTGGTCTAGCTCACAAAGTCAAGTTATATAGAAATTTCTACCCTCATTGCTTCACATTATGATATACATCATAGTATCTTATACCAAGCATTATGATATATATCATAGTATCTTATACCAAGCAAAGGTGTAAAACTACATACACCTTTCATTGTTGCCATCCATATTGCTGATTTCGAATATTAGCTATTGGGTTTGGACCTCTATGTGAAAATCCTGGTGGTCCAGCTGCATAACAAGGAGTGGTCGATCGGTTAATCATATTACTTGCAGCATATGGACCAACCCGCCCGTGAGGAGGATATGGCCCTATAGAAGTACCACCAGCTTGAGCCTGGACCCCATGGGTTTGGTTGTATCCAACAGTCAGATTCATACTGGGAGGATACCTATTTGATAATCCAGCATCAACAAGAGGTTCACTATACGGGTTGCTAGGTAAGGTAGGTAAGGGTCGTTGCAACTGGTTCATGGAAAGGTTGCGCTCAGGCCGATGCTCTTGGAGGACCTGCCCACTGTGATGAATAGGAGGAAGACGAGCATGTGGTGGTGGGCAACGCAAATTCTGTCTTTTTGCAGTTTCCTCATTCAACTGCTGCTGTTGCCTCTTCCTCTTTGTTTGGAACTCATGCGATGCTTCATATTTGGGTAAGCTGCACCATCAATAACTATTCACAAAACTCATCACAGCAATAGTTCAATCACCTAATTAGAAGCCAATATAATGTTCTACATGACTTAAAAACTATGACATTCATTTGCAGTATTTTTTTTTTTTTGGATTCATTTGCAGTATACAAATACAGTTATTGAAGATAAGAAAAACAAAGTAAGACACCTCTTTGGGTCGCAAGGTAACGGCTCCATCTGGAAATATTCAGCAGCAAGTGCATCTTTGGCAGATATCCTCTGTAGACAAAAGAAACTTAATCCTCATTACAAAGCTTTAAAAGGAAAGTGGATTAATGGAAAATAGTAAATATCGCCATTCAAAAAACCAGAAAACATCAAGTAGGGCTGCAGATATAGAAGTTCCAAACAAAAAGCTCAGGAGTCTAACCCTCACTGTCATCCCAAAGACAAGACAGCACACAACAAAAAGTTTTTGAAATCTGAATATACCTTAGATGGATCAAGGATCAGCATTTTGTCCAGTAAATCAAGAGCATGTGAGTCGAAACTGTTAAAGAAGGCAAAATAAGTAATAAAGTTTAGGACACTGTAGCAAAATACATAATGGGTTAGTGTAGGTAATGGAACAATAACATCAGATATAGACTAACGTACTGTCTCAAAACCTCTCGTAAACGTCGACGCATGGGCCTTGCAGGCTTAAAGTTATTATACCAACGAATCTTGGAAACACCAGGCCAATTTACTTCATCAGGACTTCCACAAAGTTCAAAAATTTTGTGCAGTTGCTCTGGCTATACAATGGAACACAGGAAATCCATGTAAGAAATGAGATTGATAAAAGTAACATCATGAACTATATGCTAAGATAGATGATGCGCTCCACCTAAAGCATTCTGCACAGGACCAAAATTTCATTAAAGTTCATATTCTTAAAGCAAGGTCTCATTGAAGTAGATCCTATGAATCTATGATGCATAAATTTTGGTCCAAATAGATCCTACAATACATAACTTCTACAATAACATTCAAAAGTGCAATCACAATTATTCACCTCTATTATCCAACTTTTGGAAGGAGTGAATTTCTGGAACAAAGTGAGTCCTACTTTAGTTGTAGACTCATAGTTGATATGTCAATTTTATATGGTGATTTACCCCCGTCCCTTGGTCATATTTAGGAGTATTTTGGCTCAACGGAGCTACTTTTATTACTAATATGCGTTTTCTAGTGTTTTCGTAGCTTTGGTATTATTTTATAGGAAATTGCAGATTTGGAGTGATTTCCTGGACTTATATGAGCCACTACGAGCATTGGATTAGGATCGCATTCATAAGACCACATTCCGAAGCCCAAGACCGCGTTGGAGCAATCAAACCGGTGTTTAAGGGCTCAGTGAAGAAGAAGATACCGAGGCAATGGACCGAGTCTTAAAGACCCAAAGAGGAATTGCGGATTGAGCTAAGAAATAGCCCAATCGAAGAAGTCCATGATGCCCGAGAGCTCACCCGACCGGGGGGTGAGGCAGATAGGAAGGAATAATCCTCCGCCCTCACCGGGCGCGAGAAGAAGTGTCCACCAGCCAAAGGCGGGTCCGGCCGGGCGAGGGTCGTTTAGCGACGTTTAATCTTTGTTTTAGCTTAGGATTTCTAGCTTGAGTATAAGTACGCTTTGTTAAGCGAGATACTTACGTCTTTCATTAGTTAATTTCCAGATTTTTTAGTTTTTTAAGCTTTTGATTAATACTCTTGTTCTCTCAACTCTTTTGGTTTATGCAATTCATTATTTCCGTTTATTTTGGTAACGATTTCTTTCCCTTTCATTTTCAGTAATTTAATTGCTTTGATTAATTATGTTTTGTTTTATTGTCTTGTTTGGTTTAGATTTTAATATGTGTGAGTAGTTGTATTTCTAGGGTTTGTGTGGATCCATAAATAATATGAAGGGGTAATTTATTATTGTTAATTGTCAGTGATTTCCTATTGATTGGTTTAATGCTATGCAAATAGATTTGGTCAGGTTTAATTGTATGACTTACGCAATGTTGATTCGAGATTCGAGAGATGAGAATTGATGTTTAGGCTTAGTTTCAATAGGCAAGTTAATTTATAAATGGTTAAATCAAGATTCGAGAGATGCAATTTATTACCGGTGGATTAATTCTGTGATTGTAATTCGTAGTGAAAGCCCTTTATAATCTGACTAATTGATGCATTGATGATTGATGATTGATTATTGTATTTTACCCTGAAATATTATTTATTGGTGAACCTATACCCTAGGCTTTGATTTATTGATTTATCCTTAGTTTTAATTGCTTTAGTTTATTTATTCTCCTTAGTTTAATTTTCTCAAAACAACTTGGTTACTTGATAGTTTAGATTATACTAATTATTTAGGAATAGAAAGACTTGTTTCCCTATGAATTCGACCCTACTTCCCTATATGCTTTAGCTAGAGGACTTAGGTAATTCTTTTAATTTGGTGATACGACTTTAGCCTGTCAATAGTCTGATACGTGACAACAAAGTTAAGATCACTACTAGTCTTAACCAGCTAAATGAGAGATGATGTATCTTTCCAGCAAACACTCAACAAAGAGGAAAACAAGTGGTCACATTACCAAAAAAGTCTTAACCATTTTCTGGATGTCAAGCTCTAAATACAAGTAATACTGAAAAGAATGTATGCAGCAAGCCTGACCTCATTTCTTCCAGACATGATGGGTTTTCCATGCAAAAGCTCGGCAAAGATACAACCAGCAGACCATATGTCAACAGCTGGACCATAATTTGTGGCTCCAAGCAACAACTCAGGAGGTCTGTTCAAACATATCAACTAGAATCAACTAAATGAGAGGTGATTTGGGAGAAAGGCACAGTACGTGACTAATACATGAGTGTCATCGACAACTAGACCTTCTGTCCTTCAGATGGAAAGAAATACCTATAAGGTAAAGTGACTACACGATTAGTAAAATTTTCTCTGCAAAGATGAGAAGAGCATGAAAGCCCAAAATCAGCAAGCTTCAAGCTTCCATTATTATTTAGTAGAACATTAGCCCCTGCAGGAAAAAAAGAAATTTATCTAATTCAAAGTTTTGGAGAAGGGGATACTCAGACTCATATGATACCTACCTTTAATATCCCGATGCAGCACTTCATTGGCATGGCAGTAATGGAGCCCAGTGAGCAGCTGCTTCATATAACACTGAGATAAACAACATTAGGGGGTAAAAAAACAGTTTTAGTAGGCACAAGAACAATCCAAAGAGTCACATCTTTAAGAAATTATGAATATACACATACCTTAATTTGAGGAACAGTAAATCTCAGGCCAGGACGATCTGAGAGGCCTGTCAAGTCATGGTCCATGTACTCGAACACCAAGTAGACACCACCATTGTACTTGTTATTGTCTGATTAAGAGGGAAATGAAGTTCATAGGCACGACATATTACACATCCTAATGCAATCGCTCAAAAAATAACCAGAGAGATATTTTACCTGAACTCTCCTTAGTTGCAGCTAGTTGGTTATTTCCATCTGAAGAAAATTCAAAATTTTCAAAAGTACGAGTTAAACTACCATAAACAAAATACATCAAATCATTAGATACTGTTTAACTAGGTAAATTATGTTAAGCCAAAGATAATATACCTTGAGAAATCACCACCTCCTTTAATTTTACAATGTTTTCATGATGCAACCTAGTCAAAACTTTGATCTCCCTAATAGCACTAATAGGAAACTGCATTAAAAATAACATTGGAATTAGAAACAAAAAATGACTCGTACATGCCCAAAATTAGTCTTTCTGAAAACAAGTGTTAGTAAATATAGATCATCCTCCCTACATTTTAACTTACAAAACAGTGAAAGTGCTCATTACAGGAAATAGTATAAATAGATGAGAATATACCCCCTCCTTTTCATTTTCTGTTTTTATTCTCTTCAAAGCAACAATTTCCCCAGTCATGACTTCTTTGCCCATGTATACCTGTCTGCCAATCAAATCAAATGCAAATAAGATAGCTCCTCTCTATTCCACATTGTTGTCTTTACAACTCCAAGTAATTGACAGGTTAGCTGAAAATGCAGTATTACAGTACCAAAGGTCAATCATAGCCTTCTGCAGTTGAGAACAGGCCAGTTACTTGCAAGTTGCAAATTCTCAACATATGAAAAGCTTATTCCTGCCACTTGGAAGCGGAGGCTTTGCAATGCTCATGAAATACAAGAGACGTTATGGACACTCAAACACTACCTACACCTCTTGGCCAATTCAAACTAAAATATTTTGTATCAAGAAATGATGGAGGTGAGAAACAAATAATACACTAAAAGAAACAAGGATAAGAAGATCTAACAACCACTAAACTTTAAGCTCTGGGATTTGGAAATTAATAATGCCTGAGCACATATTTCAAGTATCTTTAGTCTCAAAGGAGTGTTTAATCTGGAAAGTAATCTCCTTGATCCCAGAAAAGAAAGCGATCATTTTGTTGATAAGGAAGTTAAAATAAAAGAGAGGATCTTAATACTTTTGCTTATGGATATGTCAACAGCTTGAGCAAGAATAAGATATAATGTTTGGACTAAAATTCACCACAAAATCTTAGTTATACTTGTTACTCTATTTGGATTCGAAAAGATAGGATTGTAAATGAGATATTAAAGATAATCACTCTTTTCACCCCTTGATGATCTAATTCCTTCATACTCATCTCTCCTTGTCAGTGATGAGAAATCAGAATTCTTAGAGCTAAAAGACTTCCATAATTTGAAGAATGCAGATTTCTACTTCCTCTGTTTTTTTTTTTTTATATTGCACCATTTTCCTTTTTGGGAAGTTGCATATTAATTGCACCATTTCATTATGTGGTATGTATTTTTTTCACTTTTTAGTTGTGTTCACACGCAAAATTCCCTACTTACCCTTGGTCACATGTTATAACAACCTTTATTACCCCCGTCTCCACCTTTTCTATCTCTCATTTGTTTTTTTCACATGGGCACTTTTGACATACTCCATCTTTTACACTTTTTCTTAAATCCCGTGCCCAACCCAAATGGTGCAACTTAAAAAAAAAAAAAAAAAACGGAGGAAGTATATTATAATTCCCTGCTCCTTACTTTTCAGATTGTCATATCTATAGAGCTTAAAGCACGCTAACAAAAGTAACAAGTCTGTAAAGAAAAAAGAAATCATACAAAGAAAACAGACTCGAAGCCTCGAGACAAGCCAATAAAAGGGATGCTGTGGGTGTTTGCATGCATTTTCTCTTCACTCCGATTACATTGTTAATGATACTTCAAATCACCCTTCCATTGAAAGCTAAAAAAAATATACATTGCTCCTCTCATTCATTGGCATGCAAGAACAAACTTAGAATAAAGAAACCTGTCTAAACTGGACACTTGGACAGATGGAGGCCTATTGAGAATCTCAGTGTTAAATGACATGTTGGAACCTGGAAGACAATGGCCATGCTAGTAGGGGTATAGGGCCTTCAGAACACTCTAAAAATAACATTATCCTTCTATGCACCTGTTCTGATTCACCTTCTGCTGGCCCACTGTAACTACAGGTGAGCACTAAAAAATGCTGCATTAGTCTTGAAGTTTATTTCAAACCCTTTTGCCATAACACACTTGTCGTCATTGTTCCTGTTTTTTATGTTATAGCTAGTGTTGTTACACTTCAACCTACAAGTCGATCACCATTACAGTATCCATTTTCCATCATGATATAAAACAGAAGACTATTTTTAATCAACCATTACATTAATGTTCCATAGCCAGTTAAATAGAATACAAGCTAATCAGTGCTTAAATTGTCCACTTTAGCAGTGATCTGCACTATCCCAGTCTCACTTGAGTAATCCTTCAGTCAATGTTTTTACCAACAGAATCTCAGGATCTTAATTACACCACAATCTGATACATATACCATTATACCCAACCTGAATTCTATTCCCTTAAATTTCTTCCCTTTCTTTCCAAGGTCGATTTTATCACTTTATAGGGTTTTTTTTTTTACTTCGACACAAACATGCATCAGACTAGATTACGCAAGGACAAATCAGCCAAAAAAAAAAAAAGATCTAACTTCAACAACATTATCTTATATATATACCAAATTTGACAATGCACAACATGAAAGTTTACCATTCAGGCATTCACACCCTTTTCTCATATTATTTTTGGCTCAATTGTTTAAAATTAACAGCAAAATCAAAACTTAAAAGAATGACAACTTCATCACCTCCCCCCCCCACCCAAACACACACACACACACACAAACCCAATAGCCAGCCAAGCAAAACTTGAAAAAATGACAATGAAGTGAGTTTCTTAACTCTCTTCCTCATTACTATACTGATTTTTTTATCTTTAAGAAATGAATTCTTGTTCTCACTTATAATTCTTTCAATAACTTATTCACCAAGACATTCAAACACCCAAATTCATATCACAAGACCTCAAATGATGCAGAATTGCAGAAACAAAACTAAACAATCTTTATAAAACAAATCATCAAAAACCCAATTCCACAAAAGATCTAAAATTTGATTCAAGAACATACCCAGAACCCCAAATCAATCAAAATTCATATAAAACATAAAATCAAAGAGGATATCCAGTAAATAAACAATGAAAATGGAGACAAAACAAAGAAGAGGAAATTGAAGTTACCCATAAGTTCCTTCACCAATTTGCTCCAACTTTTGGAAGCGATCAAGAGTGCGAGAAGATCCCCGCAATGGCGGAAGTTCATCGAGATTTAACTGTCCAAGTTGTGCAACAGTCATCTCTCAATTGTATTGTTTGCTCTAATTTCTCAGGTTTTTCAGAATTTTTTCACTACTTTGTCTACACTATATTTCTTTAACCCGTAACTCCTGCTGTTATAAAATAGGGATGTCTACGCTTTATGTTAGGGGGGAAAAGAAAAAGGTAAAAGAAAGGGGTCATCTTGAAACCCACGAATATTTCTTGACTAACTTTGCGGTTGAATGGATCGATCATACGATCCAATCTCATGAATCTTTTTTTTTTTCGGTGACACGCATTAATGGCATTGTAAGCTTAATTCATCTACTCCGTATCTTAATTATTAAGTACTTTATACTCGGTTAATATAGGCCTTTGCGAAAGAAGAACACGCAAAAATCGAGTAATGGTCTAATAAGAATTGCACATGTGAAAAGTTCTAAACTGATAGGACACATTTTCTTTGTCTTAAAAGAAAATAATTACTTGTAGTATTTGAATTATGTATCATGGTTAGATGTAATTGAAGGAGAAACGGACCAAATAAGTAAAGTATCTACATAAATTATCTAAGGACTTAAACTCAACCTTGTTATTAGATTAGAACTAGTATAACTACAAATTTAACTAATTTTCACTCCTTTGATATCTTTTTACTAGTCTACCAAATTGAATATTAGATTCCTTATATGAATATTTTTAGAATGTATCAACTTGTCAAAATTGTTAATAATATGAAATTAAAGTCATCAATGGTCGAGTAGTATTTGCTTTTCAATCACTTAAATTTAGAACTTGATTCAATTTAGGCCTTTTCTAAATTCTGATTAGGTTCAATTACATCATTACATGACTTGCTATTGACAATTTTGGCACTATCATATACTTTCATCTTTCATGCACCGCGCAACACTCTCCCCAAACTCGTCTAAAAAACAAGTTTTCTCTCATCACAAGTTATAAGTCTTGTCGATCATCACCTTAACAACAACTTCCTATTAACATAAAACTATAATTATGAATTAGCATAAAATCATCACATCGAAGGTACATCAAACCGTTCCGGATAACGTCTAAATTACGAGAAAATATCCAAGCCGCTAACTCGGTACTCAAAACGCAGCTCCGCGGTCTTTCATTTCTTTTTCCTAGAGGTGATCATTGGGCGAGCCGGGTTGAAGCTAAAAAAGTATGCCCAATTCTCGGGCCGGGCCAAGATTCGTGCCAAATTTTTTGTGCCCAAACCCGCCCAAAATGGTCGAACCGGGCAAAAAAAAATTAACTAAATATGCATAAAAACGCATTCCCAAACCCGCTGAAAAAAAATTTCGGGCCGGGCGAACTTTGATGACCTCTCCTTTTTCCCCTAAAAAAAAATCTTCTTTCTTTGCCTTCTTCCGCGGTGGTCACTGCATCATTTTGTTTGAATTCCATCATCTTCTCACTTCTTCCCCAAATCAAACGCCTTAAAATTTCAAAACTCTTTCTTCATTTTCGCTGATTATTACTAGGGTTTCTTATGGCTCAGACGAATCATCTGGAATTCGGCAATCAATTAGGTGAGATATCTTTCATCTCTTTTTCTCTCTTTAGCTTTTCACCCGAATCAATTAATGTAATTGTGGTTTTATTTTAATTGCAATTTTGCATTGTATAATGACGTAGAATTGTATTATATATGTCGTTTTCTGTAAATTTCTAGGAGTGATTTCTTAATTAGTTGATTGCTTGTATGATGCATGACTTTCTTAAGAGATGCAATATTTTCATTTGATTTTATTAAAAAGGGTTGCATGTGTAAATTGGCAATGAGTATTAATTTTGGAATCGATGACAAATCATGCATTGATCAATTTTTGATTGAAGTGATCAATATTTCCACTCTTATATTATTAGTATAAGATTGTTTATATCATTATCCTGTTATTATTAGTTATCTTGCTTAATGGTTACCTTTTTTTTGCATTAATAGATAGTTTATTCTTTGCTATCTTGTATTCAAGAGAAACAATCAAGATTGATAACGAGGCCGGAGTTGTTGTGTCTTTGATTTTGAGTGAATTTCAGAATTCATTCTTAAAATCTCAAGGAAATTTTTTGAGATTCTTATTGCAAACACTATGGGAAAATGGGTAATTATATTTAATTTCATAGATATGACTTCGAATTATGAAACAAAACACCAATCTATCGACAAGTCCAAGTGACCAAGTCTAACTTCAATAATTTAGCACCAAGCAAGAGCTTAGTTGAAGTAAAAAACTAAGGATCAATAATGACAATAACAAACCAAAGAAGGTTTCATAAAGATTTTTTATTTTATTTTTTATTTATTTATTTTTTTAAAAAAAAAATTTGGTTAATTTGTCACTAGTTATCGTAGAAGCAACTCGTATACTTGCAACTTCTTTTGTAGTGGAAGACATTTAAGGTATAGGAGAGAGATTGCTTAAAAAGGATACTCATAGGAGGTTATACCGTTATAGTATCCTCTCAAGAACCGAAAGCAGTGGGTGTAGCATAATTCATGAGCATATATTACAGAACTTGTATCCAAAAATAAATGTCATTTTTGTAAAAGGGCTAATATCTAGATTGCTCAGTTTTTAGTTGTTGAAGAGAAGGTGATGTTCGCATCATGAAATGTGGTGAAAAGTGTGCTTAGCAAAGGGAAAGCCCCTTTTGACTTTAAAGGGGGCTTTCTGTAACAACTAGATGTTACAGAATTTGCATAGGTGGCTTCCTTTTTTTCAACAGGAAAAGTGTTGTTCCTTGAGTTTTGTAAGAAACAAAGAAAGATAATTGCAGTATTTTTCGTCTTTATTTTTTTGAAGAAGAAAAGGATTAAAGTGTGACATATTAAATTTCTTTAGTTCAATTTTCTGTTGCCCATCTCTTCCGCCCATTGTTCCTTTGTATGCAGTGAATTTGTGGGTGTGGGTGCTTGCATGTTCATTCTCTTGCTAAAGGTGATTTCTTTAGTTTAATTTGCTGTTGGCCTGTTGCCTACCCCTTCTGGCCATTGTTTCTTTGTATGCAGTGAATTTGTGGGTGTGTACAGGCCCATGGTTCTGGCATGTGAACTCTTGAACCAACTCCTTTGCTTTTATCTTAGCCATTGTTTTGAATATTTTAGCGCTGACATTGTGTTGAAGTGTGTAGATTCTCCAATTCCTCTTATTCTCATGGTCTGATTGATCGTACCTGGTCTGTATGTTAACTTGTACTTTTTGTGGAATGCAGACATTGAACAAATTCTCTTTGATGCTCAACATCGGTGGCTGCGGACACCGGAAATTTGCGAGATTCTTCAGAATTATAAGAGATTTAATATTGCACCAGAACCTCCCAATTTGCCTCCAAGTATGACTGTTTGCTCTCATGTCCTTGTCTTATTTTTATTTGTGGTTCAGTATCTAATGAAACTTTTACATGTCATGGTAGAAGTCTATTGTTTCTGTAGCTTGCACTATCCATGATCAGAGTAAATTAAAACATCTGAGGTTTGAATTTTATGCTGTTATGTGCCCAACTGCCCCTGTATATTATGTACTTATGTTTGATTTCAAAACTTCTGTTTGTGCTGATTAAACTACAATTTTTTTTTTCTCCCTTTACCAGCTAATGTCCTAGCACTTTAATTTGCAATCAATTCTACATTAATGTGTTTCATGTGTCTGTATATTTTCATCTTTGTCATGACTACACTTCTTTGAATCTCTCTATCAAGGATATATCTGATTCTGCTGTTATAGTTTTTTTCTTCTCTTCTCTTTGTGCATTCTTAATCCACTCATTGCTTATTGATTTTAGTTGTATAATTTTGTTATTATCGTATTATCATCTAATATACTTTTCTTAGATTGAATTGCTTTTCAACTGGTGCATCAATTTTGAATTTTTATTTAGGAATGTCATTGACTCATTGCTGATACGCAATTTCTTTACAGGTGGTGCACTCTTTTTGTTTGACAAAAAAGTGCTAAGATACTTTAGGAAAGATGGTCATAGTTGGAGAAAGAAAAAAGACGGAAAGACGGTTAAAGAGGCTCACGAGAGGCTGAAGGCAAGAGGCAGATGACTAGTTACTTTTAGGTCATTCGACTCTGTGTGTTAACTTATTATGTTTCATTTTGATATTATTTTCTAAGTATGAATTTGGAGGTTGGGGGGCTAGGTTGTAGGAGCACTTTTTATTTGGCAAATTTTATGGAGTAATGGACAAACTTGTCTTCTTGATATGCTGTCATCTTATCTGCCAGAAATTCCTTAAAATTCCTTTTTTTTTTTTTTCATGTTAAATCCCGCTCTGTGGTCATTATTAATGTTGATGTGTAGGCAGGGAGTATCGATGTGTTGCACTGCTACTATGCCCATGGAGAAGACAATGAAAATTTTCAGAGAAGAAGCTATTGGATGTTAAAAGAGTGAGTATAACAAGCTCTTGAATTATTGAATTGCTAGTCATATTTGATTTCTGGCTTGCACATATGGCCATCTGGGCATCCTCGCTTTGATTTTTGTACTACCTTAATGTCCTTAACACATTTACACACTCAATAATATACATGCAAATACATAAAGGAGAAAAGTAGGAGGGTTTGGTTTTTTTGTTTTCCTCCTTCCTATTCATCTATGTTCTTCAGGCTCTTTACATGCCATCGGGTTATGTTGGCCCTGATGAAGCATTTATTTTGCCTGTCAGCTTTTACATTTGCTAATATGTGCAGAATGCATTTTGTCTATCACAAATGGTAGTCATGCTTTAAACTCTCATTTTCCTCACTCTAAGAGCTGGTTTGGCTCAAATTCTAAAGAAGAAATTAAATGGTTTTAAGGTAGAAGAATGATTCTGAAACATTGCAATTATTAACCCTAAAAACTCTTTTCATCCCTTGCTTCTTCTCCTTTCTTCCCATCATCTTCTTCTTCCCATTGTCTTCACACTCTCTTCTCTCCTTCCCTTTCATTGTTTATCTCCTTGCACCCACGTTGTTCAGCCATAATGTTGGAAGTTTTTCAGACAAGGGAATGGTGGTAGTTGTTCAGCCATAATGTGGTGGTAGTGGTGGGGTTGTGGCAGTGCTAGCAGGTTAGTCTTTTTTGAGAGTGGATGATTACAATTTGCAATATTATTACCTGATGGAAATCGAAACAGTAGGACTCCTGAGTTCCAGCTTGTTGACTAGGCAACGAGATTCTCATGCTGAGTCATTCGTAGACTTAAAATTATGTCAGGGATTCGCGGTCTCTTTGTCTTTAATGTGTGCTGCATTTAATACATTGGGTGCCGTGTTTGATGCATCTCAGTTTTCTTAACCTTCTTTTTTCTGCAGTGAGCTCTCGCACATTGTACTTGTTCACTATAGGGATGTGAAGGTTAGCCCCCAAACTTTGTTGTTATATTCGCAAGTCACTACAATAATGCTTGCATGATGCCACCATGTCAGATGTTAAATACAAGTTGAATAGATATGGATTGCACTTTTGTAAATACTCTCTATTCGAAGATACCAAAAAACACCATAATTCTTACAAAAATGAAAATCAAATAAAAGGGCTAATAAATGTGTGCAGTCACCGAGAATTTTCCTATTTCACTTAACTTTTGTATTAATGCTCCATGTAAATCTTAAATCTGGGTATCATGTTTGAAAAAGGTGTAATTTAGTGGTAGGGCTATTTGAGAGAGGTAATAGTTTCATACTTGCAACAAGTCAACAACTCTTTATTTAATTTAGAGTTTTTAAATGATAATCTGATCTTTTGTTATGTAAATAAGAGTTTCTAGTATAAATGTGTTTTGCAATGAATGTGTTATTCCTTTAAAGTTGTATTACTTGGTAGTAAAACTTTTAACATATGCAAGTTTTTGGCGTTACCATATATATTTGTTGAAGAGGGTAATTGGCTCTATATGAATGTGCATTTGGGGTTCTCTGTTCTCTATTTAAAGGAAAAATCAAAGGAAAAGCTGACATGAGAGGTTCAGTGTTTTCGCCTCTTGTTCAGTAAACCATATGCTTTTCCCAAATTTAAAAAGTTATCTTGCAAAAGGACTGCTAGATCCAGATCCACTGCATCTCGGGTGGTAGATAGATAATACGAGATTTAGTGTTTTCGCATCTTGTTCAGTAGCTGCTCTTTACTCTCTTCAAAACTCCTGTTTCTGGGTTCTGTTGTGGGAAGGAGAAGATTATTAATTAAGTCTTTTACAATCCATTGCTGACATCTGCAGTAAACCATAAGCATTTCTGTGTTGTCTGTCATTTATTAGGGCTACAGGACAACCTTTAACCGCTTTAAAGAGACTGAAAAGGATATTGCAAATACCCAAATTAAACAAATTGTATGCAATTCTGAGGCAGAAAGTACCTTAAATTCAGGCCTGCAGCAAAATTGTTGTCCAATGCTTTCTCAAAACACTGATAGCAGAACCCCAAACAGTGCTCAGGCATCAGATTATGAAGATGCTGAGTCAGGTATGCTTTCTGTCCATTACATGTTCTTTAAATCTTACACTCTGCCTAAAAAGCTTATATGAAAAATCAACTTCTGTAACATTGTCACTTACTGCTTAAATCACACTTCTTTTTTGTATTCCTCTGGTGGTGAGTATCAATCAATCAATCAAAGCCTTAATCCCATAAGCAGGGTCGGCTACATGAACCAAAAGTGATTATTCCGTGTAGTCATCGACAAAAATCTTCCTCCTCCATCCCTTACGATCCAATGCCTCATCCTCATGCAAATCCATAAACTTCATATCCTTCCTAATTCCTTCCAACCAAGTCATTTTCAGTCTCCTTCTCCCTCGTTTAACCCCTCCATGGTCCCACTCTTCCACTCTTTGTACCGGTGCACCCTCGGGTCTCTGTCTTACATGCCCAAACCAACGCAGTCGATTTTCCCTTAGTTTATCAGCAATGCCTGCCACACTCACTTTCTTGCGAATAACCTCATTTCTGATTCTATCTCTTAGAGTGTTCCCGCACATCCACCTTAGCATGTGCATTTCCGTGACCTCCATCTTTTTAATGTGCTTCTTCTTAGAAGCCCAACATTCTGGACCATAGAGCAACATTGGTCTAATGGCAGTCCTGTAGAATTTACCCTTTAACTCTGGGGGTGAGTATGTATAATAAAAAAATGTCCATTGACCTAATTTTGATATAAACTGACCAGTTTTGCAACACTTACTAGCAATTTCAAGATATCTCTCTTTGTTGGAGTCGCTGTCATTTAGTTTGATAAAAGAGACCCTGCTTGTTCATTTTCTTTCTGGAACTGCCTTGTTTGTGGTTTCTTATTGCTCAAATAGTTTCTCATTTTCTTTTGTCTGTATTTAACAAATTATAGCCAAGCCATTAAGGATATACATCATCTGAGCTGTGGCATTTGCACTGATTAACAGGGAATCAAGCAAAGTCAACCACTGTTTCTTCTCTGGAGATTGATGTAGATAGACCAGTACAAAAGCATCAGAATGAGCTATGGGGATGGGAGGATGTTTTGGAAAATCACAATGTCAGAGTGCAATTTGCATCATTAGAATCCTCCATCTTAAATGTACAATCAGATTCTGTGCACACCAACTCTAAACAAGAAAATGTGATCACAAAACTTTTCTTGACAGATCCCTGTTGTAACACCCAGGCATCAAGGGATCTTGCTCAAGGCCCAGAAGAGTGGCAGGTGATACTTCTATATGGTTATGTTATGGTTTCTTCTTGCCTCAGTTTGGCTGTCCTTTAATTAATTAGCAGCAAATGTCTGTAGTGGTCCTTTTTTTGTAAAATTTATGGCCTTTCAAAATTTAGCGCAACAACTTTACTAGCTAATCTGTTACTGCAACCTTTTATTTTGTTACCTATACTTTTTTAAATGTATTGTATTGTTACCTTCCTGAGAGTTCTGACCATTTGACTCCCATACCTCTTCTTTAGCTTTATCATTATTATTTATCCCTTTCCTTTGGGTTTCCTCATGCTGTGCTGGGAATGGGGTGAGTTTGTTGGTTTTATGTTAAACTTTGTAACCAAATAAATTACAATTAGGTGGCCAAGTGGACAGCCATGCATATGGGCGATATGTCTAAATGAGTATAAGATGATTAACAGCAAACATTATAAATGAAAAAATTCAGGGATCTCAAGCATTCCCTCAAGTGAGATAAAATCCTTTATTTATAATCAAATAGCTACCTTTAATGTTGACAGAAACCTCCTTGTAAGTATTTGCATTTTAAGAAACCACCTTGTATAAGTTAGAATAATTTTCTTTACTTTATATATCTAAGGATATGAAGGGTGGTTTATTAAGAATCTCCCTATATCAAGGTGTTTTTGTAATAAAATAAATAATTTATGTTTCCATCTCTGTATTACACAGTAGTGTATCCAAGCCCTCCCCAAATCTCACTGGCTATTTTTCTTGCGATTATCAAATAGGATGGAGAAGCTTCCACCATTAGCTGGTGCCTTCTCTATAGTTTATTATTCTCTTTAGGTCCAATTTAAAAGTAAGCAAAAAGTTTTATTATGGCATGACGTCCCCCCATTTTCTCTCCTGCAGTGTTGTTATAATTAAGGTATTTTATATGTTTTCAGTGCTTTTGGGTAGCTATCAAAGATGCAATGCACCTGTACTCAGCTTATGCACTGAAACACAATTATGCCGAAGCTACATGACTACCTTGTAATTGATACCATGTGTATGGATGAACAGGCTATGCATGCCATGGATTATCAAACTGAGCCTTCTGTTGCAGCATGCAAAGAAGATCAAGTAGATGTAGAGAGCAATCTGACTGGTGTGAAAAATTCTAGCCACTTTTCTGCTGCAAGAACTTTATTAGATAGACCTGTTAAAGATGAAACTCTAAAGAAGAGTGACAGCTTCAGCCAGTGGATGTGCAAAGAACTTGAAGATGTGGAACCAGTCAAACCATCATCTGGTGCATACTGGGATGCTGATGACAAGAGAAGTGATTGTCTGAATCTCCCACCTCAAGCTGAGTTCGACTCTTACACTGTTGGTCCCTCACTTTCACAGGACCAGCATTTTAGGATTATTGATTTTGCACCAAATTGGGGATATGCTGGCTCTGAAACTAAGGTATAGTAGCTTGAAACCTTTTATATATGCCATGATATTCGTAAGACACTTTGGTTTGTATCAGTTGATTGTTAATATCTTTCTGAAAAATTCAATAATAATTTTCATCTTGTATAGGTTTTAATTACTGGGAAATTTATGAAGACTCGACCAGATGCAGAAAATTGTCAGTGGTCATGTATGTTTGGTGAAGTGGAAGTACCAGCTGAGGTTATAGCTGATGGTGCCCTACGTTGCCATGCACCCCCTCATTGTGTGGGTAGAGTTCCATTTTATGTAACATGCTCTAATAGATTAGCATGTAGTGAAGTGAGAGAGTTTGAATACCAGGATAAGATTGTGCATGGTCTTGATGCAACCTTTTTTATTCAAATAAAATTTTGCAAATTACTCTCATTGGGTTCCAGCTATCGCCAGAATATTGTGCCTTGCAATGGGGATGGAAACTCAGATTTGGATCATGAAATCACGTCATTGCTGAAGGGAAATGACAATGAATGGTTCCATATACTGGAACTTTCTTCCAAGGAGGAGTTTTCTCTGGGTGAAGTGAAGGATAGGCTTGCTGAAAAGCTTATAAAAGAGAGGTTGTGTGAGTGGCTTCTATGTAAGAGAACTGAAGGTGGAAAAGGTCCCCGTGTTTTGGATGAGAATGGCCAGGGTGTGCTACATTTTGCAGCTGCTCTTGGATATGACTGGGCCATCTCCCTAACTGTAGCTGCTGGTGTAAGTATCAACTTCCGTGATGTGCGTGGGTGGACTGCTCTGCATTGGGCAGCATATTATGGCAGGTAACAGTGATTACATCTTTCTTCTTTATATTTTGAGTGTATGTTTTATAATCTCTGTAGTAAGCATTGTATTATTCTTTCTTTTGTTATCTTCTTTAGGATTATAGTTCTATATCATTAGTGATGGCTTTAACTTGGGATTGAGAAAATTCTTCAATTGTCAGGTATGATAGCCAAACTAGTTGAATTCGCAGGGTTTAGAAGGAAATTGGGTCCTTGTATTTTTAAAATTGAGATTAGTAGTCCTTCTCAATAACTGTGGTAGCGAAGAGTTTCCTTTTTTTTTTTTCTTTTTTTTTAGCAAGGTTGCTTGCTTACAATATCTCACCACCATTCCTACCCCCCTACCAAAGAATAGGAAACAAAATAATCTCAATCAAGATCCACAAACATAGAAGATTGCACTTTATTAATACTATTATGTGATTCTCTTACAGCTGTCATCCCTCTCCCCACCCCTTCCCCTCCTCCCCTTTGAATTTTGAAAGCTTATGTGATCACTCTGTATTGGCTTGCTAATGGAGAATAATTTTATCTCTTTCACTGTTCATTTTTATTTGAATTTTGGGTCAAGGGAGCGTACAGTTGTTTATCTCATCTCTCTGGGTGCATCCGCTGGGGCGTTAACGGATCCTTCCCCAACATATCCAATGGGCAGAACACCTGCTGACTTGGCCTCGGAAAATGGTCATAAAGGGATTTCTGGATTTCTGGCAGAATCAGCCTTGAGTGCCCATCTTGAATGTCTGACATTGAAGGATAAATTCAAACAGGACAGTACAGTAGTAGAGGTACTTGGAATGACCTCTGTATTAACTGCGACGGAACGGACTGCTACCCCGATCAGCAAGGGAGTCAATCTTGATGGACTTTCATTGAAGGACACTTTAGCAGCTGTTTGCAATGCCTCCCAAGCTGCTGCGCGAATTCATCAAGTCTTTAGATCACATTCTTTCAAGAGGAATCAGAGGAAGGAGTTTGGTAATGATAAAAAGGAAACCCCAGATGAATATGCTCTCTCAGTAATTACCTTAAACTCCCCCAAGCGTGGTCAACATGATGAGCCGGTGCATGCTGCTGCTATCAGAATACAGAATAAGTTCCGCAGTTGGAAAGGCAGAAGAGAGTTCATTACACTCAGGCAAAAGATTGTTAAAATCCAGGTGAGTGTTGTCTTTATTAATACTTGGCTTTGTAGTGTTCTGCCTAAAGTTCTCCTCAATAATTTATGCCAGTCCTGAATTAATTTTTATATTTCTATGGAAACAGGCCCATGTTAGAGGACACCAGGTAAGAAAACACTACAAAGCATTTGTATGGTCGGTTGGTATTGTGGAAAAGGTAATCCTTCGTTGGAGAAGAAAAAAAAGTGGGTTACGAGGGTTTAAATCTGAGTCATTGCCTGTGACGAAGCAACAGTCTGAGGGCAAATCTTCCGAGGATGACTACGATTTCCTCAAGGAAGGTAGGAAACAAGCTGAGGAAAGACTGCAGAAAGCTTTATCCAGGGTAAAGTCAATGGTTCGTTATCCAGAGGCAAGGGACCAATACCGCAGGCTGCTTACCACTGTCACAGAGATCAAAGAGATGAAGGTACGTAGGCACGTAGCTAGAGCATGCAAGTGTATAACCCGCCATCACTCAAGTTTTTGTGCTAAAAAAATACAGTTGGAAATTTATTTGGTATTTTTTTTCATTTTTTTTGCAGGATGGATATAGTAATGCTATTGATGGGGCATATGCTGCAACCTCAATGGGTGATGACCTGGTTGATCTTGATAGATTGCTGAATGATGGCACCACACCTTAGGAAATAGCAAGAGACATATCTAACTTAGTCGACTAAGTTGCCCCAATAATTGTATATCTGTTCACTATTAGAGTAGGATTATGTATATTGTTTAAGTACATATTAGTAAGATGTTTCCAACAATTTTTTACTTTAATTTTTTTTCAAGTTTGACCTTCAAAAGAGAAATGATACAATTATTTAGTAACAGAACGTTCCAAAGTAGGCATACCGTGTGGCACCATTTTACTTGGATTGAGAGGGTTTATTACATTACTTAATTATTTATTGCAAGATTTGCAACACCACAAAGTATCGTTTGAGCAACACACTTAATACGAAGTACTATATGAATATTGACTAATTATTATTTTTTGCATCCTTTACCCTATAAAGTTTAAGAACACCATTGAGATTAAGGGTAATGATTTTTTTGTTCCGAGGCTATAGTTACTAATGTCTAATCTATATTATTCAGTATAATAAGCATTGTCCTACAATATATGCCTTGGCAACATTAAATAGTATTTGAAAAACTCATTACTCTTATATTTTGAGATTTTTTGTCAGATGTCTTAAAAACTATGAAATGCAACGTTTCTTTTTTTGGAGACGGCTCCAATTCACCCTTACCCTGGCACAACCCAGCCAACAGCAAAAGGTCTATATCCAATGATTGTTGTTCAAATCAGCAATAAACTTGTAAAAAGCTTGAAAAATTACCATTAACTTTAGCTACATCTAGTAGCATCAGAATTTATATGCAAAGTATCTGACAAACCTATTCTTATACTCCGTATTCTTGAGCAAACAAAAGATAGTTAGATTGCTATGGAAACGTTGGCAAAAGGTCTCATACACCTTATCGTCCAAACAATTAGGGCAAACAAAAATTGTGGAAGAATTTCCCACCATCGATATACACTGCTATTTTCTTTTCACTCGACAGAGGGTCTTCAATGTTCCAACGTCAACCTGTACAAGCCCAGTAAAAGCCAACCACCTAAGCAGTATACATTTCCACAACCTAACCAATGACACCCTAATCCCAATGGTAGAAGAGTAGTAGTAGAAACAAAGGATTTGAAAAAATATCAAAAAATTGTAAACAAAAATGTTCTATTAAATGGGTAATTAAGCCTAGCTAGTGTTACTTTGACCAAGGGACTCGTAAAACAAAATGTACCCATGGTCTGTGTTACTAGAGTACTCCTGTGCTGACCCAAAGAATGTCTGGACAGCAGATTCATCAATCATTTCCACATTCTCATCGTCGAAGAATAACCAGTGATTATGACTTTTGACGAGGCTAACATAGTGTCCATGATTAGGGCCACTACCCACATGGACAATAACAGCAAACAAGGAGTATTCTCTATCTGAATCTTCCACAGTATCGCTCAGTTTTAGCTCAAGAGGGAATACCACACGGTAGGATAGTTTCTTGTACCGACTCAACTGTTCAATGTACTTGAACCTCTTCAAATGGATAACTAGGATGTGGGGTGGCCTTTTAATCTTCATCCTCTTTTGCGCTTCCTGCAAACTGCCCCATTATTTATCAAGGATTAGCTTCTAATAAAACAAATAAGAAGCTCAAAGGCACCAATTAAAATACAAAATTTCTTCATTACACAGTTCATAGAGGAAACACCATTTTAATGCACATCAAACTTCAAAGAGGAATAAAATGTGAACCCGTATTTAAATATAAATTTCAGGGTTAAATGATTGTTATTTCACATATTCGTACCTCTAACACTTCTATTTTGAAGGTGCTTTCTAAGATTCTTAATGTCAGAAGCTCCACTATTTTTTTTAATTTGATTCAATCTAATTTCCTTTAGCAACAATGTCTTCAATAATTCCATCATGAATTCTAGTTTGATATTCAGCACCAACAAAAAAAACCCCTCCCTCCCACTCCCTAACAAAAGAACAGCACTTAACCTCTAGCAAATCATAATTGATAATTGTCTTCATTCAATCTTTTGTATTCTCCTGAGAAGGTAAGCAAATGGAAGGGGGAACTATTCCAAAAGGCAAAAGCTACACTGAAGGAAAATCATACTAAATCATAAGAATTTTGAGCCAGACAAATTGGTGAGTGAGAAAAGAGGGAAAAAATGAAAGAAGAAAAAGAAGTCTCAATATCCTTTAGAAGCTGAGACCATCAGCATATAGGTTGCAAGTAAACCTGTTATTGGGCAGGTCGGAACAGGTCTGGGCAAAAGAGGTCACGTTTTATTGTGCCAAAGTAGATCAGTGGTTGATTATGGGTGGGCCACTAAACGAGCAACGACAAAAATGGACAGAGACAAAGTATATGTGAATATGAAACGATAAATGTAATATTTTTTTTTTTACGTCATCTATTTCCTATTTATTAAATTGAGCTGACATTTTGGCCATGTATTATTGACTCTGTCCAATAAAAAAAATAAAAAAAAATAAAAATTATAGACCCAAACCTTATACCCATTGGGCTACCCTATCTAATAACCAGGTCCAATTGCAATCAGAGAATATTCCCATCACTGGAGCAATAATTCAGACATTGCTCAAGAGAAGAAAAGATTTTAGCCTGTTATGATGGTTTATAGTCGCATAGTCAAAAGGGGTCTCAGCCACATGCACAAGGATGGAATAGACCTTTCCAAAAACAGATGCATATCTGAAATTATGTTATCACATCCTTCAACAGTTTTCCAAATACAAGATCTGAAAGTCAATTCAGTCACTTCATTAAAAAAATCAAAGGCAAACATATTCAAATGAAATCCAACTAATACTTGAAAGTGGCACTCAGGAAAAAAAGCAACAAGACGACAAATAATTACCTGCAACATTTGTCACAAAAAAATTTGTCCTCGGCATTCAAAGTTTCGGTCGAACTAAAATTTTTTAGACAGCTTGTAATTGAACTATTCTGCTCAATATCAAGGCTCAGGTCAAAAAAGGTTTCATCCCTTGCTGTGACAGTCTCACATCGTAAGCATCTTGTCTCGTTCGTAAGAATTCCCTGATTCAATAGGTCAGAGACGACTTTTCAGGTATATATCAAAGCTACCTTTAGGGGAAGAGGATGTATAGCAACGAAAGAAGGAAAGAAAAGCAGAAAAAAAAACAGAGTTTTGAAAGCCGTATGGAATAACTTAGAAATAATTAATGCCTATAGTTGAATGTAGTTGGTGTAATTTGCAAGTAATCTTGCAGAGACGTTTCCTCAATCTCTTTGGATATACTTTCTTATTTAATCATAAAGCTTTTATTTAAAAATGGAAAAAAAAAAACCCTAAAACCTTACTCAAAGCATGATGTAATATTGTAATGTGCACTATCTATCATTCTATCAATGTACTAGAGAAATGTACCTGAAAATTTTTGTGTACCCAGGTAACTAAAGGTTCTCTCAGAGAGGCAGAGGCCTGAGCATTTTTTGGTCCATTTGCAACTTTTTCAGATGGTAAAGTTGCTTGGTCAATTTTTGTAGCCTGAGCATCTTTCCCAGCTTCTATCACAGCTTCTTTCTCAGCTTCTGTCTGAGCTTCCTTCTCCAGTATGTCAACGAGTTCATTTAGCAAAAAGTTCAAGAATTCATGGGCATCCTATACAGATAAACAAATATCAAATGAGGGAAATTCTTTTTCATATATTACTATAGCAACAAATGAGTAGAAAGTTTATCTAGAGACACTAAAGCAAGAAAAAGGATCTCAATGACAACTGATTGTACATAGAAATGTGTGAGATTATATTAAACAGTAGATAGATTCCAAACACACTTCTACACCAAGCATTCAGCTAATTAATTGTATCTCACTCCCAATACCATCTTTCAGCTAACTCATTCAACAATCAGCATGTAATACGAGACAAATAATGATTCTGGAGCATGAAGTAATTACAGCACATATGAAAGGGAAAAAAAGGGGGGGGGGGGGGGGGGTACCTGATGCATGTAGCTGCGATAAAGCTCATTCCGCCTTTTCAACCTCTGGACAAAGCGCTTTGGAGCTATGACCCCTGTTTTCTTCTTTTGCGAACTTATCTATAATACAAAGAATTGCTGTTAACGGTTCTCAAAAGCTAAAATGAAAATCAAATACATGCACATAGCTAGCAATGGGAGGTGTTTTTTGTGTGAGAAACATGAAAGCTAGCAACTTCGACTCCTATAGAAAGACAACATCCATATGCCAGAGAATTATTATGGGCAAATTCATTAAACAGGCCAGCTTGCTTTCCAGAGAGTAAAATTAATTCTTGTATATTGTCACAACTGCCCATGGTTTGGTAAATGTTGTTGTTATACAGAAAGCAAGCGTAAGATAATAATTCAAGGAGAGCTTCATCAAAAAGTTGTGATATTAGTAGTAATGGAAAGAAGAAAAAAAAAATAATGGAAGCATATAGAAAAGGAAGTGTCATTCACTCATTTGTGAGCATTCAAAAGACTTAACTCCATTTTAGCTACAGGAAACAATCTTGAAACAAACAGAGAACATAAAACAGAAGTGTACTACAACAAAAGAAATGATGTTGTTTATAGAAAACATCCCCATCCCCGGACAAATAAGGAAGCAAAAGAGATATGTATAGTGTTTACCTGAGAAAAGAGGTCAGCCAAGCATGTCAGGCAATTCTCCTCTGCATCAACAGTTTTGCTGCTATTTGCGTAGTATTCTAACAACTGTTCTCGAAATGGAACACAAAAATAAAGCGCCTGCAAATGCCGGATAAAAAACATAAATAAACTGGCAATCATTCTAAAGCATCCCGAACCAGAGCTCAAACTAATATAGTACTTAAATCCCAAGCTAAGATCCGAAATTGTCCAATCATTAGCCTTTAACTGATTCATACGGGGCGTGTTGATTCAGTCGAAACCATCAACACTAACAAAATTTCTGCCATGGCAATTTGAATTCTAAACAGTAGGCCTTGGCATAAAGTACTAAGTAAACTAGCATAAACAAACATATTTTCCATTATCCAAGAAAACAAGGGCTGAAAGACCAAGAAGATATTTAAAAAGGGTGATTCTATCAACATCACACAAAGTGCTGGAAAAATGAACTTAACAGTCTTCATTATTCAGACAGGTACTTTCCTCTTTAAGTATACAGATTCATTGATACTGTCCCCTGACAAAAAAGGGCATATTTAATAAAGGACCCCTCAACAGAACAATAAAACAATACAAAAAACGGTATTGATTTCACCAAAATTCTATCAGGGTCACAAGACTGTTTATATGTATATGTACACTCTAGAGTCTCTCAGAATTGTAGTCTTACAGTTTGTTTAACTAGCAAAGTGGAAGAGAAAGGGAAGGGGGAGGAATGGAAGGGGAGGGAGAAGGTAAGGTTACATTTTCCCTCCAAATCTTTCCAACATTCCAACATTGGAAGGATTAGGATTTTTAAAGAGGGAAGGAAAATGAATCTTTCCATTACCCTTCCCTTCCCTCCTAACAAAAGGTATCCAAAGAATGGCAGATGAATCCCTTCTTTTCTCATCTCTTCCTTTCCCTCCAATTCTCTCAATCCAACCAATGTGTTAGAGATGTAACTGATAAGTGAGACAACTGATCATGGATAAGTTGATCTTCTCGTCTTTGTCATAAATGTAGCATATCATTGACATGTGAAACATGTGTGATCTTAGATGTCTTGACTTAGGCGTTAATGGCTACATATTAAATTCAGTTTTGTTCCAGCATTATAATATCAAACTGATATAGAATTACAATGTGCTTCAAATGTATGTAGTATGCACATCATCTAAAGATTTTCACTCGTTATTTTCCTACTTTTATGTGTTTTTTGTCTTGGACATGTGTGAAGTCATATTGTGATATAACACAACCTACCTATAACACCTAAGTGTTTTATATCCACCTAAGAGAACTCACTTACATCTTGAATTCTACTCCCTGCACCATATTCTCTACCGATAACAAGTAGAATTTAACTAAGTACCGAAGTCATTTAAATCTGTTTGAAATTAGTTGTAACATTGATAATGTAATAACCGTAGTTTATACTAGTTATGTGAGTATGTGACAACCATATTTGAACAGAGGTGGAATTGTGGAACTGTGGAAGTGGAAGTATATTTTGATTTCATAATTAATTTGACCAAATCACAATGAATCTGAGAAATTCAAATTGGCTGCTTACACAGGAGGTAACATCCCATATATTCAAAAACACTCATTAGCCCTAATCCACAATTAAGAAACAATAAAAGTCAATGAACCTAAATGTTGCATAGATCTTATCTTAGCATTAAAAACCTAATACAACCCAGCATTCTACCATCCCCTCTGTACCCTACCCTAAATCCTCGCTCATGTGCTTCTCAAACATCCTTCTTAATACCGGCGAATTCGATATTACAATCCTTTACAGCCTAAATTGAATCAACCTAACAACCTACCATCCTCAAACAAAATCCAATACGAAAGAAAATCAAATCATCCATAATCCCACAAAAATTGAGATACAATATAAGATACCCACATCCAAAATTCACAAACCCATATCAAATCTTCCATAATCCCACAAAAATTGAGATACAATACAAGATACCCACATCCAAAATTCACAAACCCATTACATAAAAACAGGAAATTTACATAATTTCAAATCAAGAAATTGAATTCAATAGATCAAAAATAAGAAAAGGAAAAAAAAAAAAAAAACCAAACCTGTAAAACACTGTTACAATAACAAGTGTTGCCAAAATTCTCGAGACCGAAATAACGCTCACCCTCAGGAAATTGTTCACCAAGAGCTTTCTCAAGCTTCGAACCCGCAGCACCCATCACATCACCTCTTCATTCAACAACAAACCTTTCTTTCTCTCTCCTCAATTCAGTGCCCTGTTTGCCTTTTCTGGGATTTTCCAGATGCCGGGAATTGGTTCAATTTTTGGAGGGGAATATGAAATTTTCTTCGAAACCCAAATCAAAAAACTGATTTTTTTTTGTTTTAGAAAAAAACAAGAATTGGTTGTTAGGTTTTTTTAAACGGAGAAGAATTTTTTAGAACTTTGATATGGGCGAATGACGATGAAAATACAATGAAGTTTGCAGATCTCATCCCGTTAATCTAAGTTTTTTTTTTTTTTTTTTTGTTCAGTTAGAGTCTTCCGATTACTCCGTATTGTTAAAAAGAAGTCCTATATTCCTATGGTCTATGGTTGTGCATAGGGATGTCAACGGGGTGGGGTGGGGCGGGGCGGGGCGGGGCATTCCCATCCCCATCCCCGCCTCACATTTTCATCCCCATCCCCATCCCCATTCCCATCGCGGGTTTAAAAATTATCCCCATCCCCGCCCCGGCGGGTCCTACTCCAAAACCTCCCCCGCCCCATCCCCGTCCCCGCTAATTCCCCGCCCCATTCCCGTCAATTTAGTATTAAAATCCTGCATATTATATAACTAAAAATTAATAGTACATAAAAGGAAAAAAAAAAACAGTAACTCCAAATTGTCCACAGTACAAATATTATAAATACTACAAGTTTACAAATATTCAAATACATAAGAAGAAATTCATTAGGCCTTGAATTATTCGGTGCAAAGTCCACTTGTTCCAGAATCGATATCACATGTTTCAAATCCTTCCTCTAATTCTCCCACTAATTTAGCATATTTATCATCCTTAAAATCTCCACAATCTGCAAATACAATGTTAATTAATTAAAATAAATAATATTATTAATTAAATAAAATGTTATATTAGCTATTTACCTTTAAAAGCAGCCCATATCCAATTTTGAGTACACATCAAAGCTTCGACAGCTTTCGGTAAAAGCCGACTACGATAAGGACTAAGAACTCGACCACTTGTGCTAAATGCGGACTCTGATGCAACAGTAGAAACAGGAATGCTCAATATATCTCGTGCTATTTGCTGAAGAATGGGATATGTGCCTCCATTTGTCTTCCACCAGTTAAGAATATCAAAATCTTGGACTAGAGGCACATTAGCAGCATCTAAATACTTATCCAATTCTGAAATTTCATGACTTGAGTCTTTATCTTGTTGCAAAAATTCTGCAAATTCTTGCATAAAGGTCTCCTCATTGGATTTGCTACTACTATCCAAATCAAAAGCTTGTTGGTTGCTACTACCTTGAGTTTTACCCATCTTAGACCCATACTCATCAACCAATCTTCGTAGAAGATCACTAATTCTACCAACCTCAATTTCAAAGTCATGCTCCTCAAAAATTTTTGCAAAATAAAAGCGAATAAGAGCCATTTTGTATCTAGGATCTAGTATTGTTGCCACTCCCATTAAACCATTCACACTAGCCCAATACTTGTTGTATTTTTGTAACATAATGTCGGCCATTTTCCTTACATAATCATGAGGAGATAAAAGCCAACCAGAAATAGCAATTCTCAAAGCACAAATTCTAGGAAAATAAAGATTGGCCGTAGGGTAATTTGTTCCTGAAAAATTAAGGGTAGTTATACTAAACACTTCCAAATGTTCACATATTTTCTCAACTTTTTCCCAATCTTCAGGAGTCGGTGGATTCTTATATAAATTATTACGAGCACTTAAAACAACAAACACTTCTTTATAACTAGTAGCAATAGAAAGCATTTCATAAGTAGAATTCCATCGGGTTTTGCAATCAAGTGCTAACTTTCTACTACACTCAGGAGCTATTTGCTTAGCCACTTGTTCAAACCTTTGTACTCTCTTATCAGAAGCAGTCCAAAACACAACACTATCCCTGATTCTTTGAACACCATTTGATACCACAACACTTAAACCATCTTGAACAATCAAATTTAATATGTGAGCACAACAACGCATATGAAAAAAATCACCTCGCAATAAAAGTGAGCCATATGGAAACACTCCTTTCAAATTTCCATCATTGCATCATTAGTTGAACAATTATCCACGGTTATAGAAGACAACCTAAGATCAAGATTCCATGATTGAATGCTTTCTTTCAAAGCATCAGCAAGAACCTCAGCAGTATGAGGGGCGGGGACATATAAAAACCTACCAAAACCAATGAAAATAACATATATTATTTGTCTATTCAATACTATTGTGGATATATGGGCTCATTATTATCATCTATCATCATAACTTATAATTCTTATAATTTTAAATTTCACACAAAAAACTATAGCAATACAAAGACAACCAAAAAAAAAAAAAAAAAATCATAAGTAACCAGAAAACGATACCTTATGATCCGACTTTGCAACTTCCATGTATTATCAATAAAATGTGAGGTGACCGCCATATAACCTTTTCTCTGGTTGTCAGCTGTCCACATGTCAGTAGTTAAGGCAATCTTACCCTTTGCTTTCCTCAACAAGGTTGCAACATTATCCTTCTCAAGCTCATATCTTTTCATAATATCTTTTCTAGTTGTGTTGCGAGACGACACTTTAAATCTTGCTATATTTTCTAAAACCAATATGCTCAACCATGCTAATTGGATACTCATGCAAAATAATCATCTCTGCCAAGTCTCTTCTTCCATCTTCTTGGTGGAATTCATAAGGAGCCAATGTCATCGTGTCATTCTTATCATTCAAGTTTTTTTTTGTACCAAACATTCTTGTTTGTCGAAGATCTTGACATACTCTCTTTGGACATATTTTTATATGATCTTTCAAATGAGTAGTTCCTGCTTTTGACCCACCAGCAAGTAGCTTAGAGCAATGGTTGCACTCAGCTTTTATCACATCACCAACTCTCTTTCTCTTAAAGTCAGACCACACTGCCGAAGTATGCCTACTAGTAATTGGTAGGAGAGAAGGATCGGAATTAGTCTCCAGAGGAATATCATCATCATCTAATGCAATTGGAGTATTACTAGCTGAAGTGGGAACACTAGCATTATTCTCATTTTTTGATGTCATTCTCCCCTATAAAAATTAAATAAAGACAATTAATGCACTAGACATATTGACTGCAGTATTGAACACATTTAATATCTCAGAAACAACAATAATAATAGCAATGCACAACAGCACAGCCGCACAGGGCACATGCAGTCAGGCAGATCATGCTTCTAGCACAGCTTCTATAATTGGTGAGCCCAAACATAAAAAAAAAAATAAATAAATTAAAAACCATTTGAAGTTTTGTTCACTACTATAAGCTTCTGCTGCACCTTAGTGTTAAAGAAGTGAGAATTATTGCAAATTGCATCAATATTTTATGTCCTATATTTTGCAATGAATTGCATGGTCATGAAACTATGAAAGTATGCATTTTCTGTCATACATATTTACAATTCAGAAAATGGTAGTCCCAAGTTACATATAATGCTGATGTATGATGCAAATTTGATTATGAAATAAATAATTTTATGGTTAAAAGACATCCAGGGAGTTGACAATTTTGTTAGATTATGAAATAAGTTTCCCCACATACTTGATACTCCCTAATCCCTATATTAATAATGTCACCCCAATAGAGATTCCTGGACCTGACAACTTTAGTTAATATAGGCTTTTGCCGACTAAATTAGGTTTATGAACAAATATGATTCATAACAAAAGAACTTCATCAAACGTTCATAGCCAAAAGGTAAAACCATAAACATTATGGGAAATCAATTACTAATTTTAAATTTTTATACAACAATATGAATAAAAATACACACACACATACTAGCAGTACAATTAATAGAAACAACATGCATTTACCTTTCGAGATGTATCAGAAAAACCTGTTTTAGGAGTAATTTCAATAGGGCTAAATGGCTAATGGCAGTGATCTGTGAAAAAAAAAGGGAAACAAAGTTAATACAATTGAATTCAAGTAGATCAAACAAAAACGTAAAAATTTATCAAGTAAATTGACGAGAAATATACCGGGTTGAAGACGAAGATCCGATTGCACACGAGGTTGAAGAAGAAGAATCGAAGAGAGGGGTGTGAGTGTGTGACCATGCGTGGAAGTAAATTGAGAGGAGAGAGTGAGAGGAATTCTGAGAAATTAGGGTTTTTGTTTTTGAGAATGAGGGATTGAGGCATTTGAGGGTGGGCACTGGCAGTGGGCTACTGGGCTGGGTAAGTCAGTACAATTAGCACAATTTTTTTTTTTTTTTTATGATTTTATCGCATTAATCACTTATCTTACGCATGTATGGGTCGGGTATAAAGCGGGTATGGGGTGAGGTGGGGCGGGGAGGGGCGGGTACGGGGTGGGTCAGGCGGGGCGGGGCGGGGCGGGTGTGGGGCGGGTCTAGGCGGGGCGGGTATTACATAAAAACCATCCCCGCCCCATCACCCATGGCGGGTATGGATTTTAGACCCATCCCCGCCCCGCGACCCGCCAAAGCTAGACCCATCCCCGCCCCATCGGGGCGGGGATGGGGCGGGTCTCCTATTAGACCCGCCCCACTGACATCCCTAGTTGTGCACTCAAGCAGTGAAGCATAAACATAAATAAATAAATATTTTTCCCTTAATTTTTTGAATGGTCCTCTAGAAACAAATTTTTTTGAGAAACTCTAGAAATAGAGTTGATAATAAAGAATTGGTTTATTTCATTTTCAATCCCCGTTGTCGAGTAGTATAGTTTAATTACTCCCTCTATTTTTAAATATTTGCTCTATTTTCTTATTTGAATTTTTTTTACAATATTTAATTCATTTCTTTCAACTAATAGACCCAACATAAACATATTTTATTAATTTCACTATCTCTCTCCTCCAATTCTCTCAACTACTTTTGTTTTTTACAATTTTTTATTCTTCCACCTACCCCACTACCTCTATATTTTATTACTTTATTCAATTTCTTCTAAAACTCCGCGTATGGAGAAATAGAGCAAGTAGTACCTCCGTTTCATATTATTTGTGACGATTAGACATTTTTCCTCTCTACTTTATGTCAAATCGTTGTAAATAATACGAATATGTAGTATTTACAAAACGGATGGAGTACATGAGAGTCTCATTTTATGTTAGGTTTCAACTTAAGTACGTATTTCACTTATATTAGGTACTTCATATATATATTTTTGCAAAAAAAAAAAAATGGAATTCCGTATAAACTAAAGCATAACTTATACTCCCTCCGTCCCACAATATAATTCCTGTTTTTCTATTTTAGAGATCCAAAATGTTGTTCCTCTTTCTATTTTTGGATAATATGTAAAGATTATTATACCCTCATTTTATTAACTTTATTCATCAAACTTTCTAATTTACCCTTAATTTATCCACTTGTATCGTACTTTTTTCCACTTTCTCTCTCTAACTTTTGTCTGTAATGGTACTTTTTACTTTTTTTTTTCTCCTTAAATTATTCACTTGTCTTGTACTTTTGTCTAGTTTTTTTTTTCCACTTTTAATGTATTTCTTCCACTTCTCCTTCCATTTCTTAAATATCGTGAAAAAAACACAATAAAACTATATTATGGGACAGAGGGATTACTTATTTTTTGAAACAAGAAGAGTGGGAATATTATTGCAAATTAAGATCTACCAAAGTAGTACTTTGGGGGAACAAATCCATATAAACTAGTTCATCATTATCCTTTGTGTCCCATCTAACAATTAAGTGAGGCACGGTATTTCCACCCCTTTTCACATGGGACCCCAAATATGAGTCAATAAACGAGACAAATTACAAATATCATCTTACGAAGTTCAAAAGATAAATGGGAGAACGACCTCTATCAGAGTTTGCAAGCGTCTTGAACACATTTCTTGCATCAACCTCCAGCAAAACTTTGCCTTTGTATCATTTATAAGTAATTGATAAAAAAAAAAAAAACATAATGGTGTAATCCAATGTTGATATTCTCCTGTTATGCATACTTGTGATAACAGTGTTACACTTGTAAGTTAAGGGCATTATCATTATATCAATGCAACACGAGAGCATCATTATTTCTATACCTGATCATAGTGAGCACGCCTCGATTTTGGGCGGATTTTGGGAGAATTTTTCCGGCCTGAAATTGTACCGGGTTCGACTCGATTTAAAAATCATTTTAGGCGGGCTAAGGAATGAGATTTTATGCAATTTCAATTGATTTTTTTAGGCCCGGCCCAAAAATGGCCCGAAAAGGCCACATAGGCCAACTAGTTTGGGCGGATTTGGACACATAATTTTCGACCCGAAGATTGGCTCCGCCTGAGGAATGGGCTGATTTTTTTCGGCCTTAGCCTGGCCCGCCTAATGATCGCCTCTAGTTATCCCATAGTTGAATTATTTTTTTTGATGTTAAGAGAGCCACAAGGGCGAGTGATGAGAATCGATTCCAAAAGCACCTGAAAGTGGGAGGGGAACTCCAACTACTTGAGCTATCCCTCACTCTCTCCCTTGTTGAATGTTTAGTAAAAGTAACAAATTAGGTTATTGTGCAATTAATTTGTTAAGCAATACCTCATTCATCATCTTTCCACAATTCCACTTATTGACATCTAAAGTTCTCCTCCATCTTAAAAAAAATCTAATAATATATAAAACTTCATATATTAAATTTATTTTTGTGATAAAAGTTAGACATACATAACTAATTTGCCATATAAAATTACATACTGCATATTTCAGGAGTATATTAGTATCGAAGAAAATCACCTATAATCGTTGTACAAGCTATATGGAATAACCCTCTCCCAATTAACCATTCAAAATCCATAAATTGATTTTTACTATTTTCCCTAACCTATAATGAGAGGATTAGAAATTTTCAAATTTACACGATACTTTTTATACTTCATAGCATCCATACCACTAATTACTAAAAGACATATTGTAACTTATTGATTGAAAACTAATATCAACACATTATGTATTTTACGAGTAATTTTTGGACAAAGAAAATATTTTACTCACCCCCTACAAATATGTGACTACGTGAGCAAAGGGATTGAAAAAAAAAAAAAAAAAAAAAGTTGGGGGATAAACAAAAACCTTATCTTTGAAATTCAGTACAAGAGGAAGATTTCCCAAAATTGAAAGCAGAGCAGAGCTAAGAAGCACCCCCAAAAATGTTGGCAAGCCACTCTCTCTCCTCAACCCCTTCATCTTCTGCTCTTACAATTCCCCCAAAATGCGCACTTCTTGCAAAATCTTCATTTCATGGCCTCCGTCTTCCCTCCATTAACCCATCTTCATCCCTCCGCCTCCGAGCACAGCCACCGCCGTCGTCTACGGTGGTTATGATGGCGAAGAGAGAGGAGGAATTGAAGGAGTTAAGGGCCAAATCCAATGAAGAACTCAATGAAGAGATTCTTCAGCTTAAAGGTGAACTCTTTATGCTCCGACTTCAACGGTCTGCTCGTGAGAATTTCAAGCCCAGTGATTTTGGTCGAATGCGCAAAAGGGTAACTTTATTACTCCATTGTGTATTGTTAATTTGGTTGTTTCTTTTTATTTTTGTGATTTGGGTTAATGGGTTGTTTTTAATTTGTGTTTAAGAATGATGGGAAATTTTGAAGGTTGTTGGGTTTGATTAAGTGATGGAATGGTGTTTTTATGAGTTGATTAGGTGAATGCTGATATGTTTTGTTTGATGCTTTCTTGTTGTTCTGTTTAATTATCACATTACTAGTTCAAATTATGCTATCAACTTGACTATTATTTCTAGAAGTACATAGAAAGTTTGATACTAACATTGTGGTAATATCATAATACTGTCTTGTCTTTTATTCAATGGTTTTAAAATTAACCTGAAGTCCTGGTCTTCTTGCCCAAGCGTTTTGGAATTAACTGTAATATGCGAATTCATATTTGGAATTGCGGTATTTGTTGGTTATTTGTGATGAAAATTGATAATATTCACATTCGAGACTTATACTGGTAACTGGTAAGCATAGGCTTAAGCACTTTTCTGAATCTGAAATCCTTGTTGTATTAGTTGTTTTATCTGTTATAGAATGGTTATCAGGAAAGGAAACTTTTGCACAATCATTCTTACAGAACATAGTAGTAAAGGTCTAAGGGCTAACCAAACAAGGCGAGTGGGCGTATTGAGGACTTTAAAGCTTGTTTGGGTAATGAAAAGGGAAGGAAAAGAAGGGGAGGGAGGGGAAGAGGAGAGAAGGGAAAGGGAGGGGATGGAAGAATAATGAGTTTTCCCTCCAAATCTCTTCAATGTTGGAGAGATCAAATTCTTACAATTTAATCCCTCCATTTCTCTTCCCTCGAATTCCCTTCATCCCTCATTTGTTATCCAAACAAAAGATACTCCATCCCTCCATTTCCCTTCCCTTCTTTTCCCTCCATTTCCTTCAATCCAATCACACTTTTAGTATTTGGTCACAATTTGAGACCTAGTCCTCCATTATTGGAGCCTTCACAGTTCACAACTTCACATATTAGTTAGTTACCCAGTCTCTGACTCTATTCTTGTATCTAGTTTTCCTAATATCGTCCTGAGTGATGATTTATTGAGTACATTGCTTTGCTGTTGTTGATATGAAGCATAACTTCTGCATTTAAAAATATATCTACTGGTAAATAGTTTGTTGAACTTATATTGAGCCCTGGCCTATATGTAATGTTAATTTAATCATTTCTACAACACTAGGTTGCACGCATGCTTACCGTGAAGAGGGAACGGGAGATAGAGCAAGGAGTGGGTAAGAGGTTGTCAAGGAAGCTTGACAAGGAGTGGAAGAGAAGCATCGTTGTGAGGCCACCTCCTTCACTGAAGAAGTTACAAGAGGAAAAGGTAGCTGCAGAGGCTGAAAAATCGTAATGAGCTTCCGACCTGTTAGTAATGTATCGATACAGAGGAATGTTTCTAGTTATTCATGGTAGGAGTTTGATTTCAGAATCTCAAATCAACTTTTTATTCTGTATGAGATGATTCATGTGTAAATTTTGGTTCCCCCCTTTCCTCTGTGTGGCTATTTTTGAAAATTCAAAATATGAATTTCTGAGTTCAAATTATGAATATCAAAGTCAACTGTAGCATCTGCATACTTTTAGTTCATGTATGAATATCAATATATGCATGCCATCACTACTGTGCCCCTTTGCACCATACAGTCAACACAATCATGCGCATGTCTTTGCAAATATGGATTTCTGAGTACAGCCATATGCTTTGCCAAAAGAACAAAAAAAAAAGAAAAGGGTATGACCGTATGATTGTAAGTTTATCATACACACTACTGTGATTGTTGCATGCTATGCTTCCCATTGGAGATTACTCTTGCTGTCTTGCAACTGAGTATAACATTTTGTTGCTGATGTTGTCCCTCTTATTTTTTGTACTGCCGTCAGAAGTAGTCCAAGTAGAGAGTTCACTCTATTTTTGTCGTTCCTTTGCCTAGACCATGTACACATAACATTAAGGATTTGTGTCAAGTTCGTTTATATAAAAGCATCTGGCTATCTGTCTCATAAAGAGGCTGTGTGACTGTATGTTGGGTGTGGCCCAAATTTTCTAGGCCCATTATTTTGATGGAGTATTTGTTCATGTTCTACAAGCTTCCGGATACAGTGTTAGGATTGGTGAGTGCACAACGAAAGAAATTAAAGATATAATACTCCATCAAAATAATTGGCCTAGAAAATTTGGGCAATCACGACTAGATATAATAGCCAAGATTTAGTCTTTAGAATTACGAACTTTAGTTGGGCAATCACGACTAGATCTCTAGCCTTTGTCCATGTTTACAAAAACAAATAAATAATATGGAGTATTATTAATATCTAGTACAATTGTTATTTATATTTGACATCAAATGCTACAATATTAACATTAATTAATCAAAGAAGCCCATATAAATCTAGCCTCCAAAAACATATACGGAGTACTATTTTTTGTCTATCTATATGCTAATATGAACTTGTTTACACAAGATGCAGCCTATGATATGCCCCACAAGATGCAGCCTAAGATATGCCCCACAAGTTGCTAAGAAGTTTGCATATTTCTACAAACACCACCAATTTCCCTATCACATCAAGGACACTCACACCAAATGTGGCTTATGCTGCTACACAAAATAGCCAAGAAAAGTAAACTAAAAGAAAGACATGAGATTGTTGACGTGGAAAACCTGAAGATGAGTAGAAACCGTGGGTAGAACTGAGTTTACCAATCACTAGATGAGAATTTCGTTAGTGAAATACCAGTATGACAAGAAAATGTAACGAAGTAGAAAAAATAGTGCTTGATAGGCTCTGTTCTTTATGTCCCTCACAATCTCCCTTGGACTCTTGGCAAATAAACATTGCTTCCTTATTCCCGACTAGTCCAGTTGTATGTTAGAGAGATTCCTAGGCTAAGAGAACAAAAATACCCTTCTATAAACCTTGAATTAGTAGGGGAGGAGGTTATCTTCAGAAGTGGCTGTTACCGAGGATGCCGTTGTGATCACACGTCATTACAATGTACCAACCAAATTTACCATAATAGTGACTTATAATAAGCGAATCATTCAAGGGGGGAGATTTCTCTAATTTCCAGAACTTAAAATTATGAGATTTGATAAACAAAATGAATATGCTAAATGTAGGACTGTAATGAGATTTTCTATTAATTGTGAAATTAATGTTATTTTGCAAAATCCAAAATAAAATTGTTTGAGCTAATGCACTAATTCTATTGGTCCAAAAAGAAAAAGTACGGAGTAGTTTGTACTACCCAATGTACTCTTCTCGTCTACTCGTATTTATATTGAGTTGTCACATTGTTCCAACCTCTCATAATTAAGGATATGACAAGATGTAAGATGTTATGGCTACAAGCCTACAAATTTTCCTTCACTCAACAATAATAAGCCACTTATAATTCAAGAAACGGGACATTATGTTCCATGCATCCAAAGAGTATGATATATATACGTGACTATTGATTTCGGATGATAGGGTACAACTTTACTACCAAATCTACTCAGGGACAGAGTATGGGAACATGGTTTCAAACTTGGCGAGTTATGATCATATAATTATATTCAGTACCTAATTATCTTTGTAAAAAATATCTTGCAACTACTTCATCAAATTATTGTCTTTCATGCTAGAGCATCCAATGTTAATACCTGTAAAACTATATTATTCGTCATAATTTTCAAATCTTAGTACCTACTTCCAAAGTCTCCTATGTAGATATTTGCATAATGTGCTGGTAGCCTGGTACTGATCATTTTTGACATAATGTAATGGTTTTTCTTCCTAATTTACTTATGTTTGTTACCAATATTGTGATGCAGATCCTCAGCAACCCAGTTATGGATGAAGATTACTTGGCTATCCAGGATTCAGGTTAGTCTATATTCTTACTTTTGGATGTTACCTTGATAAGTCTGCGATTAAAGGGCCGACTAATGTGCATATACTCATGTTTTACTAATTATTATCTTAGCTTTTCTTAGAAAAACAAGTGTTACTAATTACTAATTGTATTCAGTATATTGCATGTTTTTCATGGTTCATACTTTCATACAATTAGTTCATACTTTGATTTGCCTTTACTTTTTGTTTAACTTTACCAAATTAATTTGTGGATACTTCGTAAAACATTATACTTGTAATTGATTTTCGTATATATTTTACTTTTTATGTCAAAACATACTAAATTTTGATGTAGTGTCATGTTAGTGACATGTCATTGCCAAGGTGAAAAGTATACGTGACAGAGTTTATTTCATGAATGACAACACCTTTAAAATGTACGAAGTTAAATTTAAAGTCAAACAAGTTGTATAGTATGAATAATAATTGGAATAGAGTATTGATTGATCAAGTAACAAACTAACAATCAATTCAGTTGAAAGTAAAAATGACATTGTAGTTATTTTTCAAAGGGGAGAAAAAGGGAGCAAAAACATTTTAGCAAAATTCTCAATGATAATACAAATAGCTTTTTTTTTGCATGTTTTTTAGATTGGGCTAAAGAGGCTAGTTTGGCAACAAGAAAAAAACAATACTAAGCCATTGGGCCAAGGACAAAGTACCAAGACTTGCATCTTCAAATTTTTAGCCTACTCTAATGGCCTTTCTTTATTTCATGCTGTACATACCCCGTTGCCGTATTCCGTAGGGGATATGCAAATGAATTTTACAAATTGAATTCCAAGACCTTATTCTATTCATCTTAATTTTTACTTGTCTTAGAAAAATGAGTTTATATAAGTCTAGATAATTTCGATACAAGAAAAATAAGAACTACTTTACAAATAGAATAAATTTAAATAAGGTAAGTTAGATTTGGATAATCTTGTTTAAAAAAATGAGTGAAAAATCAGATGAATAAAAACGTCCTAATTCAATCAAGGACATTGCTTAAGGGCATTTAGCTTTGTCATTAGCTAGGTTCATAGCTCAGTGCTACAGGGCTTTGAAAGACAAGTAAATGCTTCAATTGGGCCCATAACAAAATTTTCCTACTCAATTTACCATAATTAAGGGTTTCAATAACGTGTCTGATAATCCTTCAACAAAAAGTTTAGGTAGTTTGTTTTTTTTTTTTTTTTTTTTTTTTTTTTTTGAAACCTAGTTAATCTGATCTTAATCATTGATTAAGTATTATATTTTTCAAGTATACTATAGACTTAAAATTAGGTTAAGATAAAAGAGAGCACTTTAAGCAATGTTATCATATTCAAATGTCTAGTTGAAGGGTAACATGCCTTCATAATATTTGCTCATTCTAGTCTTCCTTTTCTTTTACTCCTTAATTGTTTTTCAAGGAGAGTAACTAGATTCCTTATGCAATGCAAGTTATATGCAGTTGAAAACTTTTCCTCTTAATTATATTTTTATAAATTTAGTAATTTTGTCTAAATCAAATTTAAAATAATCAAACTTATAATTTTGGTCTAGGGGCAAATTTTATGTGACTTTATATTTCGTTCATATTCAAAAGCTTTGGGATAGGGTTTTTCTTGTAAGAATGAATTCCTAAAACACTCAGCCACAACAAAGCTATATCTTATTCTCAAAGAAAGATAACTGAATGCACGAACCAAGAGTGTATCTCATGTGGTCATCCATATAACCTATTCTCAAAGAAATAACCGAGTGTATGAACCAAGAGTGTGTCTCATGTGGTCATCCAAAAAGATTCCCCTCTCCTATTCTCTTTTATCTAATTTCCAAAATAATCAGTCACTTTTCCTAAAATTACAACAACCCGTCTTGTGTGTGACTAGCCACACCGTGTGGCCACTTATAAAAGTACCAAGTAACCCCTGTAATACTGATCGAGTAATCCCTTAGCTATAACAATTACAAAGTAATCCCTTTAACATTGACTAAGTAACCAATATTACACTAACAAATTAACCCCTATGATGGTTGGCCACACGGTCACATATAAAAATTTATTGTGAAATTACAATAAGTACCAATACAATATCCTCTGATTCCTCTCCATGTAAATCGCCATTTAAAAATTAGGCATTACTTGAGTTGAGTTGGTAATTTAATGGTATTAACAATATGAATATAATGACAACATGTTTGAATAAGATGTAACAATTTATCTCATCATTTGTCTCTTGTTTTTGTTGTTTACATGATGATTAACTGTTGTCAATCTCACAATATTTTACTGTCCCTTAGCCTTAGCTGTGTGCATTGATGTCACTCCTTATGGAAATTATAGTGGACCAATAAGATTTGTAGTAGTTAATGGCTTATAAGAATGACTATAATTGTTATAATTTTTTTCCTTAAGTACAAACTTAAAAAGACATTGCTTTAACTAATTAATCCTTGTACAATTTGTTATCCCTGTTTGTTGAACATAACCGTTGAGAAAATCGTGACAAACTCATATAATAATAAGATTATTAGTATTAACATTCTTCTTATTTACTAACTTAGGAAGAAGAGTCTTTTTGAAGATTAATAAGAATATCAATTTTTTTCAGCTAATTTTAATCGAGGAATAATAATAATCTACAATACCCAATTGGGAAAGATATCTTCTGACACGTAATTATAGTTAAATTAAAAGATTTTTA